AAAAAAAAAGAAGAAAAGTATATTAACAGAGAAATATATAGAAGGATTTTTATATACAACAGTAGGCTGTCATCCTACACGCAGCAATGAATTTGAAGAGCATCCAGGAGGACCTGACGACTATTATGATAAATTAGCTGAACTAACTCAACACAAGTCTGTGATTGCCATTGGTGAATGTGGTTTAGACTATGACAGACTCTTCTTTTGTCCAAAACATGTCCAGAAAAAGTACTTTGAAAGACAGTTTGACTTGGCAGAAAAGTCAAGACTGCCAATGTTTTTACATAATCGTAACACAGGCAATGATTTCTTTGATCTTGTCAAGGCAAATAGACATCGATTTACAACTGGCATCGTTCATTCTTTCACTGGATCGATGGAGGAAATGAAAAAGCTAGTGGAGTTAGATTTATATATTGGCGTCAACGGTTGCTCACTCAAGACAGAGGAAAATTTGCAAGTAGTCAAGGAGATTCCCGAAGATAAATTGGTTATCGAGACGGACGCTCCTTGGTGTGACATTCGTCCCACTCATGCATCTTTTAAACACTTACAGAATGTTTCTAAAGAAGAAATGGCCCTTTACTCTCCACCAAGCAAAAAGAAGGAAAGGTTTGAGATGGGATGCATGGTAAAAAGCAGAAATGAGCCTTGTACAGTAGGGCTTGTACTGCATGTTGTTGCTGCCATTAGAAATGCAAATCCAAATGAACTTTCAGAAAAGATTTGGGAGAATACATATAAAGCATTCAATCTAAAATAAAAAAAAGTCATGTATTCACATTGAATAACTGTTGCTTTTCTTTTATTTCTTGTATTTATCCAAACCAATAAAGAATTAAAGGTATAAGCCTTCAGGTGTTCCTTCACTCTTTCTATATAACACCTTCTCTCTTGCTTTACGGAAGTCTTCTGCTACTACTTTCATACGACGCTCACGTAAAGCCATCAGACCTGCTTCAGTACAAATAGCCTTAATATCAGCACCAGATAAATCATCTTTAGACATGACAAATTCTTCCAAGTCAACATCTTCAGCCAATGTCATTCTTGAAGTGTGGATATTGAAAATTCTACGCTTTGTCTTTACATCAGGAAGTGGGAATTCAATCTTACGATCAATACGGCCTGGACGAATCAAGGCAGGATCCAAACTTTCAATCTTGTTTGTTGCCATAATCACTTTGACATCACCTCTTGAATCAAAACCGTCCAACTGATTAAGCAATTCCAACATGGTACGCTGAATTTCACGTTCACCACCCGAAGTAGAGTCGTAACGCTTAGTACCAACAGCATCAATTTCATCAATAAACACAATTGATGGTGCATTTTCTTCAGCGACACGGAATAATTCACGAACAAGCTTGGGACCATCACCGAGATATTTCTGTATCAGTTCCGAACCGACAATACGCAAGAAGGTGGCGCTTGTTTGATTGGCTACAGCCTTTGCCAGTAAAGTTTTACCTGTACCTGGTACACCATAGAGAATAACACCCTTTGGTGGCTTAATACCCATTTCTTCATAAAGTTCAGGATGTGTCAGAGGTAATTCGACAGCTTCTTTAATTTCTTGAATCTGCTTTTCCAAACCACCAATATCTGCATAGGATTCTGTAGGTGCTTTTTCCAACTTCATGACACTCACCATAGGATCTGTATCATCTGCCAATACACCCACGACAGACATAGTTTTATGGTGTAACAAGACACTGCATCCAGGCTCTAATAAATCTTTGTCTACGAAGCTCATGACTGAGACATAATACTCTGGCCCAGTGGCTGAAGAAACAATAACATGGTCGTCATCAATGATTTCTTCCAGTGAACCCACAGTCATTGGTGAGCCACGAAGATCGTCCACTCGTGTTCTTTCTTCTTGATCTCTTTCCTCTTGAGGTTTGAGTCTTTCTTGATTTTGTACGAATTCCTCTTCGAGTAAGAGATAATCTTTGATACGTTCCATCTTGAGCATCTTGAGACGACAGCGTGTTGTAGGAAAGACTAGAAAGTGTTGGTTTATTGACATATAAAGTGTATATGACATGTACCTTGAGGTAATTTAGCCGTTGTGTCTGGTCCTCTCTTCTTTTTTTTTCCTACACGAGTAGGAACGGGAGGTTCCCACTTCTTCTTTTTATCTTTCTCCTATTACAACATGTTTGAATATGAACACCATCAGTTATCAATATGGCATCTATACCTTATCCTTTTTGTCATTGCCTCTTGGCATGCCAGATTGTGAATTTCCCTATTAAAAAGTGTGGTCAAGATCATTGCTTCTCATTCTACATGATGAAATCTATTTGCTTACCATTTTGTTATTTTTGGTTTAAAAGAAAAAAACAGAATATAGCAAGAGAAGCTTGCGCGTCCCAATTTCAAGAACCGTAGCGGCAACTAAACTGTGACGTACAGCTTGCATTTTTTTTGTCGGATAATGAAATAGAAAGTCAAGCGAAGAGACACTTTATGCGAGAATCTTATTCTCTTGGAGAAATGTTGCATTCAGCTTTAATGTTTATAAATTGAAATGATGAATTAAGTTGACGACTTGAAAATTAAATTCTTTATTAAGAAGAGTAGAATGTTATCAAATTTCTATCTGAATGAAAGCTTTACTTGAGTAGAAAAAGAGAGTTTATGCTGCTCAAGATAAATGAGTTTATTCTAGCATATTTGGTTTATTGTTGAGAAACCACCAATTTACTTGCATCTTGTCTTTTAAACTCTATGCTGCATAGCTCAGCATTAACTCCTAAACGGCTGCAATTAACAATCAACTCAATCCTTCTCCCAGACTCGGCTACATCTTTGCTTCCAATCAAAGCATATTCATCGCCGTTTGTGTCTTTCAACATAATCGGCTCTAGCTTTAAAACTATGCTTAGTCTCAGATTGTTTTTTTTTTCTCTTCAGTGATGGCACTGGATGGGTTTATTACCCTTTGTACGGCTTCATTATATGTTGGAGACTTTTCATGATTGACACCTGCTAGCTGGTAGGTTTTATTCGATATTTGCTCGAAAAAGTAGAACGAAATAAGTCAATTACCTTCAAACTCCATACAAGAGGCAATATCACATTTGAATATGTGATTCTTCAGTCCATTCTTTGTTGCATAAGCAAGTAAAGGGATCTTTAAGGTTTCTTGTTATTTTCTGTCCTAATAAAACCAAATGCAAAGAATATTATACGCTTGATAGACTTGACTAGTTACTTTGTTTTACCTTTTTTTTTTTGAGAGAGAAACTGTTGCCTGTAACGTATGTACGTCTTGTTTATGACTATAATACACCAGAAGTTAGACTAATTCTATGTGCACTACCTCTACCCACTACCTATGATGCCGTCTAACAAAGCTTTTCACCATCTTGCTTTGTTTCTTTTCAAGAAAAAGAAGAGCTAAAAAGAAATGCTGTGATTTCTTTATTTATTCTAGTTTTATGTTGTCAGTTTGATCAACAAGGACCACTTAGCTCACGTGTAATTATGGTAAATTCGTATTTTACATTAAAGTATATCCTATTAGACAGTCTTACAGGTAGTGCCTAGAAGAAGCTCCCGTAGCATTAGCCTATTTTCGGGTACATTTCCTGATGCATGTAGTGTTAGCCTTTTTCATTTCACCAGTAAGAGTCAGATATCGATATACGATGTACAAGAAAATCCACGAGAAGACTAATGCTACAGTCGCTTCCTATGATGTTGTCAACAAAACTTGTCAATGCATGCCGTCACGTTAAACTTGATAAGAAACTGAAATATTTTCCATATTCTTTGATATAGAGTACGACTTTTTCAAGAGATAAGATGAACTTTTGGCTGGGTCGCAAATCTGTTACTCAGTATATGCGTGTGACTTGACAAAAATGTTGTTTCTCTGCCAACTAAATAAGCCTCTCTCTCTCTCTCTGCCTTTATTTATTTATTTGAGACATATGAGCAAAAAGAAGGAAGTAGTGCGATCAAAGTATTTCACTATAGATTCCTACTTTAGATCGCCCAAAGCGATCCAGTCAGTCAGTCAAACAAGCTGTGAACAAGATTCTGTTGCTATTGAACAACAAAAAAGTGAACCATGCCCGGTCTGCAATACGATGATATACACCGAGTCAGTTTCTATGGAAGTTCATATAAATCAATGTTTAGATGCTCAAGAATCAGTATCGGATACACATGCATTCTTGGATACATCCTTTACCTCTTCATTGACTACTGAGGCAACATTTACTTCCTCCTTGGACGCTCAAGAGTACGCTTTAGAACAACAAGATGTGACTACGGCAGAGTGTGTTACAGAACAAGAAAATGGAGCAAAAGACGAGAATGATAATAGTGATTGTAGTAAAGAAGGCAGCGTAACAACTGACGATCAAAATCGTAGAATTCTTCCCTCAGCTTGGAAGTCTCTATTTTCACTTAAACAATCCAATGATAACAAAAGAGATATTTTGGCGCCCAAGAACACCAATAACTTTAAAGCCAAAATACAAGAAAGATCAAATAATGCTAAAACAAAACCGTGTCCATTTTATAAATGGGTTAAAGGTGACAAAAAGAAAAGATAAAGAAAAGCTGCAAACTAACAATTACAATAAGACACGAAATTTGTCGTGGACGCATTCAATTATGGCAAAATACCCGACTGTGATGGTTACTTTCTAACTCACTTTCACTCTGATCACTATGGAGGGCTTCGAACCAGATGGTCCCATGGTCCCATTTACTGTTCTCAGATAACAGCTAATCTTGTACGACAAGAACTGCGTGTGGATTCACGTTTTGTTCATCCGCTCCCCATGAATGAGCTATACCCTATTCCTGGCTCAAATGTAACCGTAGCATTAATCGATGCCAATCACTGCCCAGGATCCGTTTTGTTTTTATTTATTGTAGAACGGCCCAACAAGACGGTAGTACGACATTTGCATACAGGAGATTTTAGGGCTGCACCACGCATGTGTTTGCATCCACTCTTACGTCAGCCTGATAATCCACCGATACAATGCCTATACCTCGATACTACCTATCTTAATCCTCAGTATGCTTTCCCTGCTCAAGAAGAATGTATACAGGCTGTTTGTGATACTGTCCAAAAGGAGATCATGGAACAGAGCAAGAAGAAGGAAAACACGCTGAGTAAATGGTTTACATGCAAGACACAGGTAGATAAGCGAATGTTGATCGTAGTAGGAGCTTATACTGTTGGAAAAGAAAGAGTGTTTATCAGTAAGTTAAAATTATCTTTAATCCCCACCTAATTATTATATACTAGACGTAGCGAAAATGCTAAAATGCAAAATATACGCAAATGAAAAGAAGGCCAAGATATTACATTGCTTAGAAGATGAAGAATTGAGATCTATGCTGACAGAAGATCCTAAAGAAGCACAGGTTCATGTTGTGTCTCTTCGTGACATTCGAGCAGATGTAAGTTGTAATTGATTTGTAAGAAGAAAAAGAGAGAACCAATGACGCATATTATAGATGATGGCTAACTATCTATGGGACCTTCGAACACATTTTGATTCATTGCTTGCATTCAAACCAACAGGTTGGACATATAAATCAACAGCCAGTGAAACAGTAGACATGAATTTTGCAGCATTATCCCAAGTCATTATGCCACCTTCCAATCGAATATTGAGCTTATCTCCTAATTATGAATCAACTAATATCAAGATCTATGCTGTACCTTATTCTGAGCACTCCAGCTTTAGAGAGCTGGCATCATTTATTGCCAGTTTAGATATTCAGCAGATTATACCCACTGTAAATATTTCACAAAAAGATAAGTTATTTTATTTTATAGATAAATGGCAACAAGAAAAGACAACAAAGCGTATTGAAGTAGTTGCTTACCCGAATGAGAATTATTGGTAATAATAATGAACCATTATCTGTATTGCGCGCATAATCTATTTTATCATCATTTACCGCTCTATTTCTCACACACACCAGCCAGTGTGTACAACATCTCGACAAAGAAGGAAATAAATAAAAAATAATCCCTTTTTTTTTATTTCCCTCTCTCTTTCTCTATTCTTTCTCCTTTTCTTTCTTTCTTTATTTTCTATTTCTTTCTCCTTTCTCCTTTTCTCCCTTTTTCTTTTTGTTTCATATTGTTTTATTGTTATTATTTATTGATACATTTCTATGTATTCACCAACACAACAAGACTTTAACCTCGAACCTGATCATTTTTCATCAAGTGGGATGATGGGGACACCGCATACAACAGTCGGAGCTGTCCCTGTTGCACGAAATAGCCGGTTATTTAACGCTTCTTATCAACTTCATCAACGTCAAAATTCATTTGGAACAGTAGCTTCCATTACCATGAGTCCTCCTCACCGTGCGGGTGGTTTACCTTATGATGCTAATAACTCTCAAAACTGGTTTGGCACAAGTCTTGATTCTAATGCCTCTTCCTTTGGCCAATCACCCATCTTTACTGGCATCGTCTCTCCCTCTGCCTCTACTGGTCATTTAGATAATTATACTAATGATGATGAAGAGATACAACAAAAAAAGTAAGTTTTATTATCACAAGAAAAACAAGGGTAGCTAAAGTATATATTTTTTAAAGCCTTCAAGAGATATTTGAAAAACGACGTCGGAGAAGAGAGAGTCATAATGCAGTTGAAAGAAGAAGGAGAGATAACATAAATGAGCGCATACAAGGTATAGTTTGATGGTAATGTTGAGAGAAGGATGTGAAGCCTAAACTTTATTTTTTTTTTTAGAACTGTGTACTTTATTACCTGAAAGATTGATAGAAGCAGCTCCTACAAGCTCGAATGTGATGTCGGTATCAAATGGCCAAGGTGGCACTAATGGACGAGCAATAAATAAGGGAACAATTTTGAAGTTGTCAGTGGATCATATAAAGGAATTACGTGAAGAAGTGACAAGGTATCAAGAAAGAATAAGGGAGTTAGAGCAAATGATTGAGGCAGCTAAAAGAGGTGAAATGATAAAAGATGACAAACTCCAACAAAGTACCAATTGTTTATACCATAATTCACAAATACCGCCGAATAACATTAATACAGCTAGTAATAACAACAACAACAACAATAACCATAATAACAATAATCAGCCTCCCCCATCTCATCATCATCAGCGTATGGGTTCATTGCAGTTTCGTCAACAGTTCAACAATTTACAAATAGGCTCTAACAATAACAATTCATAACCTGCTTTCCCTTCTTCTTTTTTTATTATTCCTTTTATTCCAAAATAAACACTCAGATGCATTTTTATTATATGACACCTTTTCTTTTTTCTTAATTCCCTTTTGGTGTTTCACTTGCTGCATAGTTATTGACTTGTTTAATATACCTATATTGGTTGCTTTGCCACTTTCTTACAATGATATCATCTTTACAACGTGCCACAAGTGTTTCTATAAATGGTCATTGTTTTTACATACAAAAAAAAGCGTATCCCTTTATACCTGTGTTTGTACGTGCGTGCACACAAACACTGGGGAGAAGAACAGAGTTCTATCCAAAAATAGTAGAAATTTACCTCCTGAGGTCATCAAAGCCACCGCTCTATTTTATACCTGTGTATCTGAAACTGAATATTATTTTATTATTACCTCTTTTCTCTTTTTTAAAGCGAGTTTCAAGTGAATTCTCTTAAAGGATTAATATATCTGTCTAATCGATATGAGAGAGAGGGGGTTAATGTTTGTTCTCTCTCTCTTTTTTTTTTTTTTTACAATGTATGCTTGTTTGAAACACGCTTTATGCGCGGAAGAATAAAATTTACTTTATTTGTTCATAAACTTGTTTGGTTACTCTCCTTATTTTTCTGATTATTACATCTTTTTTAAAATTATTAAAATATACATTTGTTAGTGTTTAACTTATAAAGCGTAGCCCTGGAAAAGTCTATTATCATACTCAAAGTCCAATCTGAGTCAACTATGATAAGTATGTCTTTCAACCAGTTTTAGTTATGAAAAGAGCAGCTTAACTTTTAAAGCCCCGCTTTAATCATCTATGGAGTACTTTGAGCAGGCCATTGTTCTAAGCTCAACACTATGAATACAAATATAGGCTATCGCGTTATTTAATTTATATACGAGATATATATCAAGTTCAAATAATACAACACATTCATATTTATCATTTGAACGCGTTGGGATTACTGCGTGTCGATTCTGAATGTGTACAAATCTTGTACCTTATTCACGCAAAACACTGTACCTGAATACAAACACATTCAAAACACAGTAATTTCAAATGGAGCTCAAAAGAAGGGGATAGCACGTCTTGCTTTGGGCTTAGCTTTTTCTTATGATTGTAATTTTCTTTGACAGTAAATGTGGCTAGCTTAAAGAAAACATATAAAGAACTCTGATAAAATGAGATTAAAATAAACAAAAGTGGGATCAATCAAGAAAAGAATGTAGAATGAAAGCTCATTCTTCCAGTTTTCTTTAATTTAAACAGTCAACGTGAAGACGTGTTTGTAAATAGCTCCTAATGATCCTTACTATTCTATATAAAAATGAATACCGATATTGATGATATGGAAATTCATATACAAAAGTTGTACCTTTTTTTCCCTTCTTTTTTACCTTTAGCTTTCAAAGTGTAAGTCTCCATCTTACGAGTAGTATTTACGTATGGAGCATACAATGGGCTTGGCTTGTAAGTTAACTTTATTTATGGGCTTGATACATAAGCTGAATACCAGAGTTACTGAGAGCTATCATCTGCTTTTGCGATGGAAGTAGAGGTTTGGTCTAGATTCTCTTCCTCCATACAACATCTTGGCTGCACTGCTTAATTTCTTTTAGGTTGGCTTTTAGACTAGTTGTTTAATGATTCTGTTATATCTCGTTTTCATGGCTGATAAATCAGGTGTAAGTAAAAAAAAAAAAAAAAAAAGATTTACAAACCCAACATATTCCAGAATCAGGCATAGTCGACAAATAAAAAGTCATTTCATAGAGAGCTTACATAGCTATCTATGCTATTATTTACCTTAAGAAAAGATAAGCACAGTTGATCTGTCTTTTTTCATTCTCTTCAATTGTATTTTTATTCATTATCTGCTTTCAACCTTTAATTGTTACACGCATGATTGATATTAAGCTAGCATGAAATCCATGGACTACACTTGTTCCTTTCAAAATTATGAAAACCTTCAATAGAAAAAGGAACAGAAACTTACAATTTCTTTTATAGGATGAGGTTTGTCTTAAAAAAAAAGGAACTGATTTTTTTAAACTTTTGACTAACTGCGGGTAGTAACACTTTTCTTTTATTTATCAAAGAAAAATGCAAATACAAGAAAAGCAGAGGCTGGACGAATTTATTGCAACCCTCAATGAACAGCAAAAGAAATCAGTACTTTCAGAATCAAAGATCCTTCAAATCCTTGCTGGTCCTGGATCAGGAAAGACAAGAGGTAAAAAAAGAATCGAGTGTCACATGACTCAAACTAACCCTCAATTGTGTATATAGTGTTGACATGCCGTGTGGCCTATTTAGTGATCGAAAAGGGGATACATCCAAAGAATATTGTCGTCGTTACCTTTACAAATAAAGCAGCAAATGAAATGAGAGAACGACTTGTAAAACTGCTTGGAGAGATTAAGACAAAACAGTTACTCATTGGCACATTCCATAAAATCTGTTGTCGGTTACTAAGGAGACATGCTCAGGTCGTCAACCTTCAACCTGACTTTACGATCGCTGACAACAGCACAAGGTTCGTTTGATATATAACTCATAAGAGCAGTCCTATTGATCATTATTTTGACAGTGAGGATATCATCAACAATATCAGAAAGGACAAGTCTATGGATGGTGTTATATCTGATTTTACCAGACGTGATATGAAAGCTGGAGCTATCTTTGGTTTGATCAGTAAAGCAAAGAGTGAGGGCATCAATGCAAAAGATTATGCAAAGATGAATGCAACCAATTTTAAAAGAAGAGATATCAGTATCTTGTATTTGGAATATGAAGCGCAGTTGCAAAAACTAAACCTTGTGGTAAATAAAGGGACAAGCTAGAAGAAAAGAATAGAAGAATAACGTCTATTAGGATTTTGATAACCTATTAATGAAGTGTTGTGAATTGTTAAGGAAAAAGCCAAATGTATTGGATACCGTGAAATGTATTCTGATAGATGAGGTATCATTATTATAACAATAATCAATTTGACTACTAAACCATTTTACAGTATCAAGATACAAACATTATTCAGTATGACTTGATCAAGTTGATGATGCAGCAAGTTAATGAAAGATCAGTGACTATTGTTGGAGGTAATCCAAGATGACATTCTATAAATATCTATAGTTAACCAAAACCATAAAAAGATCCTGATCAATCTATCTTTGGCTGGAGAAGTGCTGAACCAAAGAACTTTGGCAAGATGGCCGAGGAATTTAAAGGAACAGAGGCCATCAATATGGAACAGAATTATCGAAGTACGACCACCATTCTAGATGCCGCTTTACACATTATCAAGCAAGACCCTGGCCGTATTGAAAAGTCTCTGTTCACTGATAATCCTCGTGGTATTCCCATCTCTATCATCGCAGTGCACGATCACTTGAAGCAAGCAGAGTTTGTGGCTTCAGAGATTCGTAAAGTTGTAACATACTCCAAGGGACTCATCCAATATAAAGATATCGCAATTCTGATGAGAATGAATTATATATCCAATGATCTTGAAACAGCATTTAGAAACCACAAGATACCCTACGTTGTTGTAAGTTTGTCATTACTGAATTAGCTCAAACCGGTTGTTGATAGATGTGTAGGTTGGTGGAGATAGATTCTTCAATCGTATGGAAGTCAAGGACATTATCTCCTATCTAGATTTCATTTATAATCCTTCAAACGTCTTATCATTTCAACGTATTATCAATGTACCAAAAAGAGGCATCGGCGCAGTTACTCTGAAAAAGATACTAGAAATAGATGAATCTCAACCTACACATTTACTTGGGACGCTTCGAAACATAATCAACAGTAAAAGCTTGGGCTTTGGACCTTCTGTTATCTCTAAACTAACGACATTTGTCAAAGTTTGTGAGGAAGCTCGCGCTATGATTGAGGATAAGGTAATTTTGTAAATCATATACAATGACTAGTCAGTCTTCACCTTTGTTCATTTGTAGCAAGAAGTAGCTGATATACTGCGACATATTGTTGATAGCATTCATTACCAAGACTATTTAAAAAACGATTTCTTTGCAGACCACGAAGCTAGATGGGCAAACGTAGGAGAATTACTCAATATTGCCCGAGAAAGACCAGAGCTGACAGAGACGAGTGATGATTTTTTGAATAATGATGATTTGCTCTTAAGTGAAGAATCTGATGATATCAATGAAGTGGACATGACTTTGACTATTGAAGAGTAAAATCATTTATTAACTATATGCGTTTGCTAATCAACCTATCACAGAGTCGAGCAGGAGCATGTTGAACCTGTAGAGGTGTTTGCTGATGAGGGTGTGGTGAGCACAGATCCAGTAGCAGACTTCCTTGAGTTCTGTTCACTTTGCTCTAATCAAAAAGAACAAGAAGAAGCAGAAGGAGGAGTAAGTGTATATGATTGCATAAAAAAGAGAGAGGCATCCAACATTATTTTTATAGAAAGTAACCATTGCGACTATCCATGCATCAAAAGGCTTAGAATGGCCATGTGTCTTTATTGTTACGTGCGTTGATGGTGTTATTCCTCACGCAAAAGCTGATGCAAATGAAGAAGGGTATTGTTTTCTTTTTATATGTGTATTCATCAAAGTAGAACTCACCTTTTCTTTTACATAGACGACTTCTTTATGTCGGAATGACACGATCAAAATGTAAACTTACTATTGAAAATACTACAACCGTTAAACTAACGCACTTTATAGTCTTATTATACTGTGTCACACCAAGATTTAGACAAAACTTTGGTGATTACGAAGCAAGTGTGAGGAGTCGCTTTTTAGATGATATGGATAAGAGTCTATATGTCACAAGAACACCAGAGTGGGATAATAATGTACGTACCATGCTAGCAACGACAATAGGCAAGCCTATACCTCCTTCTGATGATTCTTTGTCGACCAAAAACAAGAGCCATAAGGCTAAACGAGATGAGGATGACTATTCATACTCTCAGCCAGTCTACTCAGACATTCGTTTCGGTATTAATGGAAATAAGGTCGATCTTTTTTCCCTGGGAGGGTTTTCATCAGCAATGAGTCTAGTTGATTCCCAATTACCGGCAACTCAAAAGTTTAACTCAAAGAAGAAGGCGACAGCACCAGCTAGCAGCCAACCTATTATGTCTTTGTTCCGTATGAACAAAACGACAGCACCAAAGCGAGAAAGACTTTCCCCGATGATAGAAGATCCTCCAAATAACCAGAAAAAGGCAAAGAAGGAAGAAAATGAAGACGATGCTTTGCTTGCGTGTTTAAAAGAAGAAGAAGACGATTTCTTTTAATCTATATATTTGTTTATATGCAGTTATTGTACAGATAACACAATTATGATAAAGAGTAGTAGTAATAATATAATCTACAGATATAAGTTTTGCATATACATTGTTTTTTAGCTAGTCCATATTTTTCCAAACAGCGAGTTCTTCACGGAAGGCGTTCAGTCTCTGTGTTGAATATAAAAAGAAATCAAATTCAATTTCACTTTGATTTGCCTGAATCAATCCCCAAAGGCCCCAAGTGAGATGACTAGCCATCACGTACATAGAGACTTCCTTTTGTAAGCTCTCTGGGGTCACATCTTTGTTCATGTCAGATGTTCTAAATTTGGAAGTGGTCTCCAGATAGGCTGTTAAGAAACGAATTTGTTCCTCATACGTAGGATAGCTCTCCTTATTCATTGCAGCTGGCTGTTCGGAGTGATAGTTGTACATCCATTCACAAAAGTGATTAGCAATATCATAGCCTCGTGGATTATATCCTGCATATTCAAAATCTACGATTACCAATTCATGTGATTTCTCGAGTTGAAGCACATTTCCATATTGAGACTATTTAAATAGTATAAGTATATCATCACGCTCTCCCACCTCGTATCAAAGCTCCATTTATATATATAAAACGTACATCATTTTGCGCGAATACGATTGGAGAATTGACATTGGCTAGTATCTGCTTGCACTCTTGTATTTCATGAGCCAGACGATTCAGGTCATAGTCATTCAATGCTTTAGCCCATGCGTCACTTTTCTTGACTAAATCAGGTAATACGCTAACGGCTAACTTATACCATTTATCAACGTTATTCCAGACTTCCATCACACTAAATCTATCAGGAGGGTAAACGGTGACGATATCATGGAGCTCACGAGTACAAGCGGCAATCTGTTTTGATATATCAGGAATTCGTATTTCTGCACTAGTAAGAGTCTTTGAAGGCAAGTACTGTTCAAATCGTCCATTGCCAAAGACGCCGAGGAGACTAGGCCCTATATTTAGATGAGAGAGTCGAGCGATCCATGCTAGCTCATTGTCTCGATCGATGATTTGATCGACACCTATTCCGTATACTCTTAACAATAAGCGTTTCCTGTTGGAAGCGTCAACAAAGAACACTGCACTATATAAACAGAAAATTAAGGACACACAGAAAAAAAGGTTTTGTCTGGACACTGTACATACTTTGTCAACGCACCACTAACACGACTAAGCTGAAAGTTTCGAGCATCGCTTGCCCACTCTGGAAAGAGGGTCTGTACCAACTTGAACACTTCATTCTTTAACCTGTCACCTTTTAGCACCCTAGACATAAATGGTAAGTATATGTCCACAACTGAAGCAAGTTTACTTAATGTACGTGAGATCTATAATTGTGCTGCATTCAGGAATAGTAGGCACCTTGTTGAAATTATGAATGTCTGTAGTAGCCAACATGTAATCTATAAAAGAGACAGAGAAAAAGAAGAAGAAGAAGAAAAAAAAACAATTGAAACAGAGACATTGTCTTTACTTCTTTGTGTCTTGTAAATTTGAGCACAGACAATGGTGCCTTTATTTTTATATTTTTATTTTTTACAAGTTAAATATTAACATAGTCTTTGTCTTAATTGAATATCCAAAATCTTTCGTTGTCTGCCTAGCCATGAGGATGGTGCAGAGCGAATAGCAAGACTTGATGCGTCTCTATGGTTACGTCGTACTAGATCAAACCAACCTGTGATAATTAACCGTTGCTCAAGCCTTGATTGAAGTCTAGCATCTTGAATTTGTTTCTATGGCAACAATGAGATATAACTCTGAATATGCGTATTGATAGATTACCTTTAGTAAGTCGTTTTCTTCTTCTTTTGTTCTAGGCGGCCTCATGGGCTCATCAGATTTGCTGGTATTTGAGAATCGCACTGTCATTTCTTGTAAGAGTTGTTTGTACAGTTTAATCATCTTTAAGGAGTTAAGATCACTTGTTTTTTTCCTGCATGTATCACTTACGTCTCGAACTTTGCGTATCTTGCCTTGGGTCTCGTTTATTTCTTCCTGAAGATGAAGTACTTGAATCTGTAAGCTTGCGTTCTGCTCTTTAACAACTTCAAGTTCTTGACTAAAGTAAAAAGTTAGATCATTTGCGATTATATGTATATAATCATAACTCACTCGCTCAAACCAGGACGTTCTTGGAACGACTCATCATCTGATTTACTGTTGTTGACACCATTCAAGTAATTGGCTTCAACGAGCATTCTATTAATATCATGCAGTTGCATTTTTGTTATATCTTCTAAGCGATTAATTCTATCTTGAATTTTGACATGCTCCTTTTCAAATTGCTGCAGGGCTTCGTTATTCTTTGCTACACTTCGTGTTCCTTCCAAGACAACCGCTTCTAGCTTCAATGTGCTTTCTTTCAGTCCACTCGATTCCTTTTGCAAATCGAGTATACGTGAGCGGAAGGCCATAATCGTCTGTGTCTGATTCAGCATGGAATCGGGTATACCATTACGTATTTGCTTTAATTCTTCTCTTAGACGATTTCTTTCCAGCAGGACCTCTTCGTATTCCTTTTGCTAATGGTAAGTAAAGTTTTTGAAAATGATTAAAAGTGTACCTTTTGCATCTGATCCTTGTGTGATTTGAAAGCGTCGGCTTCTTCCCTTAACTTTTCGTGATCAATCTCTGAGGATGCGGTAGCTTCCATTTCTTTTATTTGCCGTTTTAATCTTCCAATGGTTAATCGTCTATGTACAAATGAGAAAATAAATTCAAGGCTGTATATATTTTATACTACAGTTCTGTCAAATTGGCCTTCTTTACGTTTTCTTCCATCGTATTTCCTTCTTCGTCTAGTCCTTCCTCTATACTTGCTCTATGGCTGACAATAGTTCCATCCAAGGCAGCACCACCTCCAAACTCAAGTTCTTTTATATGCTCTTCAAGCAGTTGTACTTGCTCCATATTCCTATCTCGTTCGCTTTCCAGATATGCACATGTTTCTGCCACTGACTTTAATTCTTCTTCCAGCCTTGTCTTTTCCTTTAAAATTTCCTTATTTCCCATCTCGAGCTGCTGCACTTGTTCTTTGTATGAGTCCATCAATGTCTTGAACGCTAACACTTTACGATACTCATCCTCTACTTGATGACTACGTTCTAATAAGCTGGCGTTTTGCTCTTCTAAAGCCTACATCGAATTATGGTCAATATGAACAAAAGCAGTTGGATTATCTGTCTGTGCTTTTACTTTAATCTGTCTTTTCAAATCAGCCGTCTCTTCCACCTTTCTTTTGTACTTTTCCAAGGTAATTTCCATTTTTTGCATTTTTTCCATGACATGTTTATATTCTTCTAATTGGTCTCTTAAAGAAGCAGCTTCGTCTGCTTGGACCGTCAACTCGTCTACTTTCTTTTTTAGTTCGTTAATTGATTGTAGATGAGATTCCATCAACATCTCTGTTTCCTGACGTCTATCTTCACTTCGCTCCCTGCGTGTGTGTAAAAAAGTTGGAATTTACTGCTTGATCTATATAAACCTTTAATCTTACAGGTCTTGTTTAAGATGATCGATCTCGGTTTTCATCACATAATCAGCTTTTCCTGTTGTATTCGCCTGTATGATGGCCTCATCCATATCCTGTAACCTTGTCTTTAATTCTTCTTTTTCATGCAGAATGTCTTCCTAAATAAAGAAAAAGTAACGTTAGGTTAGGACTATCCCAAAAAGGAAAAATAGTTATTTACAAATCTCTCTCGCAACTCCTCGTATTCTCCCAGCAGTTGATGATGTGCGATCTCAAACTGCTTTTTCTCCATCATCAATTTCTCAAACTCGATTTGATACCGATATGGCATGTCCTCTAGTGCTCTTGACCCACTTAAACTTGAATGACCGGAAATGTACGATAACCGAGGATTAGATGAGATATCTGGTTCTGTGTTAAAATGGTTCATCACTTCTTCAATAGAAACCATGAGTGCATGTTGGCTCTTTTGAGATAGACTCTGAATCATTTCGATATAGGTTCGATTATTATCAGACTGAACTGCAATAGCTATCACCAATTGACACATCAGTAATAGTTCGTGTGAGTCAGCATCCTTGGCTATGGCTGACAAGTTTACGTTAGGGAGAAGCTCAGGATCCTGCCCGATAACCTCTTCAAAATATCTCGTAATCGATTTATGTAACTTTTTCTGGTTATTAAAGCGAACAACCCAGTTTCCTGCAGATTCAGTGGCTGTAATTTGCTTGAACCATTTTGGATCACTACAAGTAATATTTAATGTTGTCAGTAATTAAATAAAAAACAACTAAATTACATGTCTGCTAATATTTCAGAAAGCACAACGCCATCTGCTAATTCGACAACTGTATCAATAGGGTATGATTTACACTCAAACGTGTTTATCTATTGTGTATAATTGTTATTGTTGATGACTTGTGCATCTTTATTTTTTATTTACCCATTCCACAAATGCGTCTTCAATAGCTGCTTCCATTTTAGAAAAGGTCATTTTTTTTTTCGTCCTTTGTTAGAAAAAAAAAGAGAGAAGCCCTCTCCTTTATTTCTTTTTTTTTTTCCTGTACCCCCTTATGTATCTAAAGGATGTGGGCATGAACATGATTAGACTCCGATAATGAACCGCTAAGCCCTGAGGAAAAATATATTGTATATGTGTGGGGTGTTATTGTTTCTTTTTTTATTATAAACAAGCACAGTTAAACAAATACACGAAAATGCCTTTTGGGTTTTTTGCATCAGAACATAGTGACCAAGGCTTGATGGATGACGGTAATGCAGTTTGATGAATGTCTTTATGGTACTTACTGAAACAGGTAGTTGGCAATATTTTGGTTTAAGCAAGACTCAGCGTCTTTATGCCTTTGGTATATCGTAAAGTCAAGCATTATCAACATGAATGAAAAAGTCATATTACTTATCAATATTATTATTATTAGATTCGTTATTGGCGCTATCATATCCATTTTCGTAAATATCAAAGAGAGAATTTATAGATCTGATCTCTTATGCATTTTATATCTTTGCTAGTCTACGTTGTTACTTCTTACTATGAATACTACTGGATTTGCCATCTTGTATAGTATTGGAAATATTGTCTCTATACTCAGGTTATCATTTATTATAAAAAACAAAATGGATCCATTTGGTTATTGACTCTATTATCTAGTTTAACATTCATCATTGGGCTCAAGAAGCAATTCAAAACTATGTTTGCCCCAGGTATACATATGCATATATGAATCATTTCCCATGGTAACTAACCAATCACCAAGTTCGTTTCTGGGCAACGGTTATATACCTTGCACTTTTGGTATTAACGCTTGTTCTCTCCATCAAAGTATGTATTTCATCTTAGAGTACACGCCGTGTTTAACCAAATATATATAGATCCACAATCTTGCTCTTTCCTTAGTACTCGTCATTGTTCAATTTGGCGCCTTGGTTTGGTACTCGTAAGTTGATACCAGAAATAAGGAAAGTAAAAGGAAATTCACTCAGTTTATGTAGCGCAAGTTATATTCCATACGGACGTGAAATCATTAGACGTTTCTTTGGAAGTTGTATTACATCTATATAACCAGCTTACTCGAATAAAACGGACAAAAGAATGAATAATAGAAAAAATATTTGTTTTGTGCTTATATGAAATTCAAAATACAACATTCTCTACTATCAAATTCATACAAGAATACCCTATGCATTGAATAAGCCTGTCAGGGAAACGAATATGTGCCAGTTTCGTTATTAGCATATTGCTTTAAAATTGCTTTGGAAGATAAAGGGAAAGAAAGAAAGAGGATCATGATCAACCACGGCCATTTATTTTTTCTACAGGAAAGACAGTATGGTAAGGTAAACTATCTTTGCTTTAATACTTTAAGCCAAATGGGAGTGGCTTTCCTTCCAATGCAGAAACAACATTATCAATACACATATCACCCATTGTTTCGCGAGCTTCAAATGTAGCACTACCAATGTGTGGAAGAATCAAGCAATTATCAAGCTTGAACAATTCATGATCTGTTGGTAAGGGTTCAGGGGTAGTCACATCAAGACCTGCTCCTACGATCAGATTCTCCTTCAATGCACGCACTGGAATAAATAAATAAAAAATGAGTATATGTCTTTGAGAAATTCTTTTATAAAATTACCAAGGCCATCTTGCTCGACCACACCTCCTCTAGCACTATTGACAAATATCTAACCAAAGAAAAAAAAATATTAGAATGTATCTTGGGATAGTAAGCGATATTTACAGCCGTCTTTTTCATTTTTTTAAATGCATCATAATTAAACACTTCTTTTGTATCAGGAGTCAGTGCACAACAGGCAACCACATAATCCGATTGGCGAAGGAGATCATCCAAGGGCACAAAATCCGCATTAAGAGATGCCTTCAATTCTGGCTTCTCTTTACGCCCCCAGTAAAGAACGCGATCAATTCCAAACGCTTTCAAGCGATGAGCCACTGCTTGACCAATACGACCCATGCCTACGACGCCCAGCGTCTTATTTTTGAATTGATATCCACATAACCACTGTGGACGCCATTCTCTCCACTATATCATTCAGAAATGGGTGTTTTTTTTTTGTTTTTTTTTTTTATTCAAAATTCTTGTTACCTCTCCTGTTTCAGCTGCATGCTGAGCAGGCTTCATATGTCTTGCTGCTGCCAACACCAACATCACTGTCAGATCAGCCGTTGCATCTGTCAAGACATCTGGTGTATATCCGATCTGTATATTTTTCTCTTTTGCAGTCGCAAGATCAATATGGTCATATCCAACACTCATAGTCGAGACAACCTTTAAATTTGGCCCTGTATAAATATTATTATTTAATAAAGATTTTTACCTTTCTTATTTGACATACCTGCAGCATTGAAAACATCAGCATCTATTTTATCAGATAGCATACAGATGAGCCCTTCAGCGCCTTTAATATCGCGCAATAACTTTTCTCGAGGCATCGAGGAATCGTGCGGCCATTGAATCAACTCAAAGCCCTGGTTTTCAAGTCTTGTTTGACTCTTTTCAAGTAGTTTCCTAGTAGCAACAACTTTTCTAGTTAAGACTGAAGAAGTATGGAATAACCTTGCTTGATTATTTATTAAAATGTTTTTTATTGTTAGAATTCTAAGCATATCTTGAGAAAAATAAAAAATAAAAAAAAGAGAAATATAGCCTATGTACATTGTATCTGTTTTGGTGTATATTGGAGTGGAGTTCAGCGGAACTTAAAGTTGATTTAGGTTATCAAAAAAAATGCATTGGAGTTATTTTTTTATCTCCTCTTTGGCTTCACAATTAAAATAACGATTAACAGCATAATGATCAAGATTAATAGTAGCATCAGTTTACGTTTTCTGGTTTTACTTTGATATTTTGCTCCCTAGTATATATTAGATAATAAGAAAAGAGGATATAGGAATAGTGTACCTTGTCTAACTGCACCACTGCTTCTTTCACTTGTATGTTTGTTTGTTCTATGTTATAGTCAATTCTATCTAATACCGTGCCTTGATCGAGGACAAGTGTTTGTAAATCTCTAAATATCTCAGCCAATTGATGTATTGACTTTGCTATCTGGTTAATTTCCTTTTCTCTTTGATCAATATTGTGTTCAGATGATTCCAGCACAGCCAATTGAGATTCCGTGAATCCCTATAGTGCAGGATGAGCACACACTAGACTCTATGTATAATCTATTATCTTACAATCTGTGCATCCTCATCTAGTAGCAACTCGGCTGCTTCATTACTTAGATTTGATCCTAGTATATTCACCTTTTTATTTTCTTGTCCTTGCATCTCTATTATCATGTATAAGGTTAAATTACTTCTTAAATCTCCAAGCTTACTCTGTAGATAGGACGACTGTATCTTTCTAAAACTCGATGAAACTTCTTGCACTTTTGTAGCTAAACTAGTTTGAATATTTCTTGTAATGACACTTTCTTGATTAGAAGCATTCTTTCCAACCCCAATACGCTGTATATCGCGCTTTATGCGATAAAATTCCTATTACAGATACATTGAGACAAAAAGCATCGAGATAACGATAAAGTTTTTACGTTTGTAATTTCTGTCGTTAGTGCTTCAATAGCTGCCTCATCTGAGCTTCTGTCATCGAATCCAGGTAGCAAATGCTTTCTGTGCATGCCTTTTAATCTGGTGACTATAGTAATACTTTTTAGAATAAGGAACCTTTAGACTATTTGCGGCTCTGGCCTTCTTCTTCTTCTTTACATTACTTTTATCTTTGATAGCATCGAGAGCTTCGTCAATTTCTTCAACAATGTCCGTCCTAATTCGAATGAGGTATATGTGTAGAGTATATAAATGTATGAAATTTACCATTGAGGAGGAAGTACAGACATTTCAATGACGTGATCTGAACTCTCAATTAACCCTTCTGTTTCTGATGCACCTGCAGAGAAGTGAGGAGCAGAGCTCTGTGCTCGTGCATAAGAATTTCTATACTGAAGAAATAGTAAAGTTCTACTGCGTGTTGCCATTGAAAGTGAAAAGACTGTTCCCCCTCACTTTCTCTGTGTGATTCTCTCTTGGCGGAATTTCTTGACTTGCTTTTTTTGGAAATAGCATTACTGCAATTTTCAATAATATAAGCCTAATAGGTGGATCTTTTTTTCATTTTGCTTTGACAATTGGATTTATGTCACTGAGTTGTTTATTGATATTATTTATGAAGAAGAATAAGAAATAAAGAAAAAGGGATATAAATATGTACATGTTTCATCATTTTCTGGGAGAAAAGGGGGGAAGTTTTAATACACTGTTGACATATGATATCTTGATTCTTCAAAATCTTTAATCTGCTGTGCATGCAACCTATGATGACGAGCACCGTTCTTTAGTCTCTTTGCATAAGCTCCAACAACATAAGCAAAGTATATCTAATAGAATGTCATTTTAAAAAGAGGCATATAAATACATGGCATTTACTATACCTGAACTATCTCTACAACAAATATCAAAACACCAAATAGGATGATAAATGTTTGTAGCAAAGAGGAGCATTGACTTTCATTTCCAGCATTTGCAGTCAACAGTCCTGGGTACTTTACGGGTGAATAATATGGACTATTGCTCAAATGAACAGGTGCGATTGTTTGTTGTGCGTTGTCGACACCAACAAATCCCATGACACGACATGAATCAACCATGTTTTGTCTGTTGGTAGCCATGAGAATGAGTGATATAAGATAAATAATAAAGGACAATATACAGTTGATCCACACGATAATACTGAATGCTTTTGAAAATCGTCTTGATGCCTACAATGAATGTATGTTAATGATCAGATATCTCTTTCATATCATTCACTTACAAATACAGATCCAATGATACCAGATAAACCACCAACACAGATAAAAACTGAGAATAGTAAATTCATGTAATACCAAGGTTTAGCTGATTGACCAGAGTAATATACAACAGCTAAAAATAATAATTAATTAATATGTAGCACAAATAGAACGAACTCTTTCGTACCATTCACGCCTACAAAACCAGTTGCACTATAAAATAAATAAACAACCTAAGGAAACGATATGAGCATATGATATGTATTCATCTATTATATCAAAACTTACAAAAAACCAAATGGCAATAAAGAGAGTGCCTAGTCTCAAAGGAATGAAGCAGCAACATTTCTCTAAACCGAGTCCCATTATGCTTTATTTATAAATGAAAGGAATTGATTCAGAAAAAGAAGAAAGAAAAAAGAGAGAAAAAAAGGAGTAAAAAGATTGGAAAAGGGGGGACGAGTGAGCGAGAGAAAGAAAGAAAACGACCTATAAATAAAAAATAAAAAAAGTGCCAACAAGCAAATTAGCTAACATTATCTTTTTATTGGTTCTGTCTTTTAATTGCAATATGAACAGTGCCATTGTTCGTACCCAGCAAAACAAAAAGATTTGGTTGTGTGCCTGAGAACCTAGATATAAACGGGTAGAAGAGAAGAGAAAAGACATACTCTTTACTACAAGTAAAAATAAATTGAACAATGATCAACACAGATACTTTGAATAGAGTACTAGGAACTTGTGTTTTGTTGTTACATTGAGAGCACTTTTCTTGATTGTGCGAAGGTAATAGTGTCACCATAGACTTAGGTACAGGATATGTCCCTCATCTTACCATGTTTGTGTACCTTTTATAAGAAAGTATTGATGAAAAAGACTATTATATACAACACTATTGCATCTAGTTAACACTATGTGTTCTATTTCCAGTATTCCTATTTAAACTACAACAGCAAAATGACCAGAACCCGACTTTTGTTTTTTTTTTTTGGCATGAAAAAAAGCACATCTCGCTCTGGGAGAAATATCTGTTATGTTACATGCATAAAAAAAATAAACAAAGACTGAGAAGTTCTGTTAAACATTTTTTTTGTTGCCAATAAACTTAGCAATCATGACAAAAGGCAACATCTGGCTTGCCATTTTATATCCAACAATACAAAAACCATTGTATAATGTTTGGCAACCAAACGCAGAGAAATAATGAGCTACTTCCAGATCTGCCAATGGTTAGTCTTTAGATAAAGAATGCTTCTATGAAATAGATACTGTCAATGAATACAGCCTCCCTTTTAAATCACTTGAACGCCTAAAATCAACCTGTCAAAACAAACGACCGCCCTTGGAGAAACAAATTCTAGGTCAGACACGTGAACATGACTGGTTTTCATCCGGGGCAATTAAGCTGAGACAGGAGAAAAAAAAATCTTTTCTTTTTTTCAATTCAATAAATTATTAAAATGGAGCGTACTTATATCATGGTTAAGCCTGATGGTAAGTCATAAAGATGATTTGGATGTAAACAACTAACCACTTCTCTCAGGCGTCGAGCGTGGTCTCGTTGGTGAAATCATCAAGCGCTTCGAACAACGTGGTTATCAACTCACTGCTCTTGAATTGATCCACCCCACCAAGGAACTCCTCGAAGAACACGTAAGTAAAAAAAAGCAACTGACAATATCGTAGTACTGTGATTTGAAGGGTAAGGGTTTCTTCCCCTCCTTGATCGAATACATGTCCTCCGGCCCCGTTGTCGGTATGGTCTGGACCGGTAAGGACGTCGTCAAGACTGGTCGTAAGATGTTGGGTGAAACCAACCCCTTGGCCAGTGCCCCCGGTACCATCCGTGGTGACTTCTGTATCGAAGTTGGTCGTAACATCTGTCACGGTTCTGACTCTGTTGAATCTGCTGAACGTGAAATTGGTTTGTGGTTCCCCCGTGGTATCAAGACCGTTGCTCGCTCTCACTCCATTCACTCCTTGGTTTACGAAAACTAAGTTATGATCATATCAATAAAATGATCATTTTGTGTATTCAACTTTTTTTTTTTTGCTGTTAAACGACGAGTTCTATGTGTTCGCAGTAGATCTTTTTATGCTTTTGAACAAATACCAAAATGCATGTTAAAATCTTGTTTTATTTTACAATGAAAAAGTCTAAAGTCTACACACACACAATGGGACATTGCTAATAGAAAGTTTGATCAAAATATGAAGGATAAGCCGGTTGTGAAGTGGTATAAAAGTAAGTTGGAACCATTGATGGCTGCTCTCTAAGAATATGATTCCACCTAGGATACATTAAACTAGTGTAATCAGCGAGCTGACCATATTGAGGAGAACACATATCCATCGCCTCAGACAGGAAAGACGCGTCACCAGTAATGGCTTGTCTTGGTACGACCATCGTATTATCAGCATCGCTTTCAGAGTAATTATGAAGAAAGAGTTCCATGGGAGAGCTGCTTCGGTCTCTGTTATCTAAATGATCAAGCGTCTTGCCAGATAAAGGAGAGCCACAATCAGAGCTACCACAGAAGCCGTCCATGGTAGAATGAGCACAAGAATAAGTCAATGATATGGGCGAAGCAGAAGGAGAAACGCCGAGGGTGCTTGAATAAGGATGCAAGTGACTATAGTTGCAGCTGCTATAAGTGAACTTGGGCTTGTCTTTATCACTGGGTACTTCCCATACAACAATATTTGCATCATGATTTTCTTTTTTCTTTACAAAGGGGTTGCTGTCTTCACCTGATTTTACAGGGCGATGATAGATTTCGATCAATTGTCGTCTACTTTCAAAGTCAATAGCAGTAAACTCGTTCTTGGGGCGCTTCCTGTAGGTTCTTGTCTTTTTAGCCTTCTTTTGCGGACAGAATTTGTAGTCAGGGTATCTATAGTATAAAGACATGAGTATCGTGAGACAGTTTTTTATTTGCTGTTGCTTTAGTTACCGTTGAGAGTGTTCGTGCCTAGCCATAAGAGCTTTTGTGCGGTAAGATTGTTTTTCTTCTTCAGACATCTCTTTCCACCATTTGGCAATGATTTTGGAAATATCTCGGTGATTCGCGCCAGGGCATTCCTTGACAATTTCTCGTTGCTTTTCAAGTCGATAGATCATGAAAGAGTTCATTGGACGTGGAATCTTGGAAGCATCAGAGCGAGAGCGTGTAGATGTTTTCATGATAAATATAAAGAATGTAAAGGGGGAAATAAACGAGTGTACGAGTTGTAAATGTGTAAAGAGATAAAAAGAAAACGTAAAGAGTAAAATATTGAAGACAGGTAGGGTATTTATATAGACTATCAAAAGACAACATTGATTATAACCATACATGATAAGCATTTCCCTCCTCTTTTGCAAATTAAAAGCATTAAGAATTTTGTGATCTATGTATAAAGAAAACTATAAATATAAACTTTATGGAGACTGCACAATCTTTTACCGCTTACATAATTGAATGACACAGTCAAATAAAGAAATTTGGTGATCTACGCGAGTACAAAACCTGACTTTTAGAAGAAAAGAAGGAGAGTGAGTTTTTCCTTTGGTTTTTCCATAAACCGTCAAGAAGGAATTTTTAGATCAATTTATGCAAGTAAATGATTTATAAATTAACCTTTCTTTTTTTTTTTTTTAGCTTGCCACCAAATTTAGGTTTAAAAGGATTGTACTAAATTTCATTGTCTTTGGGGAAACATTATCTATATTTGTACTAGTCTTAGTATACCTTAACATAGATGTAGTAAATTTACTAAAGTAAAAAAAAAAAAAAAAGACTTGGGCGTAAGACATGGAATTATGATAAAGAAAATACATGCTTTTATTGTAAAAAAAAAAAAGTCTATGAAAGAACACGCATGGCCATTTCGAATCTATAAGATATAGTCATATTAGCAAATAAGAAACCGAACCGTGTCTCGACTTACCCCATAAATGTTGCTGCATTCACTGGTGCAGCACGAAGCAAACAAGGTCCAATACCTCTAAAGAAACCGGCAGCACCTTCCTTTGCAAATGTTTGACGAGCACAATCAAGGGCTGATCGATACTGTCTGTTATCAGCTGTGAATCCATCAGTCTGTAATTTGGATTTCACAGCGTCCATTGGATAAATAGTAAACCACATGGCATAGCCAGCTGCAGCACCAAAAGCACACACCTTCCATGTAGGCAATTCTGATCTGCTCTGTAAGTTATCCTTCTTCACCGCTTGCTGAACAAGCCACTCGTATGCTAAAAAGTAAGCACCGTAGCCTTGGAACTCACGGGCCATAGTGATGCCTTGACCCTTATAGATGCCCCTAATACCATGAGAATTGTAGATCTGACGAATACAGTCGATAGGCCCACTGTATCCAGCACCTGTCTGAACCTGAAGTCGGGTACGAATGTGTTCAACGGGACCGGAAACAAAGGAATTGGCAACACCACTTGCCGCACCTGCTATATACAACTGACCGTTGCTCAATAATGCTCCCTTTTCATTTCGTGAGAAATAACGCTTCATGGCCTCGAGTACTACAAACTGAATAGATACACAAGCACCGATTCCCACCAAAGGCGTCATTGTTCCCTTTTTTTTCATGTCGAATTATTTCACTTGTTCACTTCAATGATCAAAACTTACCTTGTAGAATCCTGTGATTCCTTCATTTGCTCTTGTCTTTTTGACACAATCCATCATGCCACTGTACAAAGGATTGGTGGTAGATTGGGTTTGAAGACGCTAGCGTATAAAAATCACGGGTTATTCTGGGTATTTGAACATACGTCCTATTTTTTTTTTTGTACTTACAACTTTTACTGTATCAAAAGGCTATAAAGTAAATAAAAAGAGTTAAACATAAATAAGCCTTTTTTCTTATTCATACTTGCCTGGCCTACAAGTACTTGAAGGATACCACCCACAGTTCCACTCAAACAGTCTTTTACGGCCTGAGACATGCTATACATAAACCATTCAGTTTTTGTTATTATATCGATTTTTTTTTCTTTACCCAGGTTTAATATTGGGTATCTCTACAGTTTCTGCCGTAACTGAGGTCATTTTTGATAATAAGGGAGCAAGAGCGACAAAATAGAAAAGAAAAAAAAAAGTCTTGATTTGCTTATCACTCAAATTTTATATCGCCGATTGCCACAGAAAATTGTGGGGGAAAACGAGTCATCTTTCAAGTACAGTTGATGGGCAATCAAGAGATATTTTTGTACAAAATGAAGAGAATTCTTGTTCTTGTATCCAATGTTGTCGATATTATGTTTAAGCTATTATGAAATAAAGAATGAATAGGCAAATGATAATAGTAGTTCCAAAGATGGTATGTTTTGATCTTTTGTGTCTGTGCGTTTTTAAGGATCCCTCTCTCTCTCTTTTTTCATTTCGTCGCTTCATTTTAAAAAGTAAAAAAGTGGAATTAATTCTACAGAAATGAGCGTCGTTTCGTTTTTATTTATAATACAGGTATAACAAAAGAAGAGAGAGATAGAGTAATAGATATTATTTGGTAGAGTTAAGATGACCACACTTTTTGCATGTTCGAAGTTCCTGACTAGCAGCGAACTTTTCAATGATAGGCTTTAATTGTGTGCCGAGATCTACACAATGGAATCTTTCTTCATAGACAATTTCTCTACAATCTATATTTTCACAGTACCATCTTAAAGAATCTAATGATTAGGATTAGTCATTTATCAGGGTTACACACAAATTCACACACACCTATATGATGAGGCAACCTCACTCTTTCAACAACGATGCCTATTGTATTTGCATATCGAATAGGATTATGTGGAACTTTGGCTATATAGGATGACTTAATAAAAAAAACAGAAAATACTTAAAGTGATACTTACGAGGAAGTAAAAACATGTCTCCTTCGTTAACATGAATATCTTTAAATTCACCATTCTCAACCACTTTGATCAACAGATTTCCTTTGACTTGGTAAAAGAATTCCTAATAAAGTATGAATATATCATCATTTGATGTTATTAAATCTAAATACCTCTGTTTCGTTCACATGATAGTCTGTTCTCTTGTTAGGTCCACCTACGATCATGATGATGGTATCATTTCCCTTAAAAAGTACAGCATTATTCACTGGTGGCTCAAGTTTGATACCATTTTCTTCTAACCACTTTGGAAAGTTGATTGGTGGTAAAATCATGTTTATGAAAGAAAAGAAGAAAGAGGAAAATTTTTACCCAGCTTGTCATTCTTTCTCTCTCTGTCTCTCTTTCTCTCTTTTACTGTTCCTTGTGACTTGCTTATTAATCTGATAAACTTTTGTTTGACCTGTCATTTGTGGTTAAATTATCGGGTAATCTCATTGGTTCCGGATTAGTAAATGACTTTTATTCAAGTTGCCAAGACCAGGATATGTATGGAGTATAGTCCAGTATGAACTATTTCTGCTTCTATTATGATTATCTAGGATCATTTTGGTGGTTGTCATAGTAAAAAGTAATAAACCCTATTGTCTTCTTTACTGTGCATCTATAAAGTCACCTGACGATCCTTTTTTGTAATAAAAAACGATATGAAGCTGATAGACTCATCCATACACAACCAATAGGATTATTAAATAAAGAAAGGCACGCTTACTAACACATCCTAACCTTTTCAGCGGATTGGTTCAATAAGAAAAAAAAATGGCAACGATGCTTTGGGCCACTGTTTGAATACAATTAAAAATGGCCTTATTTTTATAGACTCTCTCTCAATTTTCTTTATAAGTTGCACCATCTTCCAAGTTGTATATTATCTTGTACGCATCTATTCTTTTTAAAAGGAAATCATGATAGCAGTAACCACAAGGACATCTATTGATAGTGGTCAGATGTTGGTCTGTCAAAAGACTGACTATTTCTTTTGTTATTGAAATAATGATTTAGTCAATGAGTCTATTACAATAAGTTTATTTGTTTAGATATAATGTCTTGTAAGGGAATCTTTCGGTGTTGATAGCATTTATCCAATCTTCAATACTCCATGGTGAGTTCTCTATCATTTCTGTATTTATCTTTAAACCAGACTTGAGCTCTACTCTCCTACTCTTTATTTCTTCAACAGCAGTAGGATCATCATCCACGTGATAGGTTGGCTTTAATTCATCTACAGGTAAATTGTTGAGGTAGTACGCTTGATCGTCCTTTAGATCTTCACCAAACCAGACTCTTCTCTCATCTTCGAAATGATCAAGCACCATCTCTTTGTATTCTTGGAAAAAATCACTATTGGCTCTTTTTAATATCCAGTTTGACTGTAGACATTGGGCAAGGGAAGCACGTTTACGGACATCTACATGCAATAAACTCGACAAGAGTAGTTCAAGGTCGTCTTTTAAATATGAATAAGTATTGTGTTAAACATATACAAGAAGGCTTTACCATTTTTTTCAAGTCCTTCATAATCAATCTTTCCGTTCAAGATGGCATCTGTTAGCAGAGTCATATCATTCAAGTATTCTTCGAATGGATGTCTACCAAATAGCATGATAAACAAAATGATACCAGCTGCCCAACAATCCGATTTGGCACTGAATCGATTATATTTTACTACTTCTGGTGCAAAATAACTATGATATTATAAGCATACGTTTTGTTATCTTTTGGTTGTTGTTTTTTTTATACCCATATGTCCCATGCTTTTCACGAACCTTGTCTGCATCGCCTTCATATATAGCTAATCCAAAATCAGCAATGACGATACGCGACCTTAATGAAGTGCCTGAAACCAGTATATTATCGGGCTAATGGTACTTTAGCAAATACAGACAAAAGCATAGATTCTATCTTACTTTGATGTCTATAAAGAAAACCAGTGAGGCTTATTAATATAAAACTGATTATGCTTTACCTCTATGAACAATGCCTTTTTTATGAAGATACTACGGGGAGACCAGTATCTTTAGTAACTTTTCAAAAAAAAAAAAAAGAAAAAAAAAGAAAAAAAAGGAGCATATATTTGATTACCTGAAGACCCGAAGCTAATTGATAGAATATAAAAAAGCTCTCTTCTTCGGTAAATGGCTCATCGTTTCCAATGTATTGACTTAACGATCCTCCTGGGAATCTAAATGTTGGGTCAAAATTATTTCCCTTTCTTTTGTTTTCTCTCTTACGCAGGCATAATCATGTTGTTATCATGCATTGTAATCAATGAAATAACATTTGCCTAAACAGACAATTAGTCAAGTCCCTCTCTCTCTCTCTCGCTTTCTTTCCGTACATGTCTATTGGCTTTTAATATCTCTATCTCGTTCTTTGAAATGAAAACTGTTCGACTTGAGAATTTAGCTCGATACACCAATTGTTCAGCAGGTCGATCAGCCATATAAGCCAAATAGATCATGGCTTGACTACCTGTACCCAAAGAGATATCAGCAACAGTAGCCTTTCTATCTTTCAAATGAAACGAGCTAGGCATCTCAATTGGTTTGGGACATTTTTGTTTTTGAATAAAGATAAAGTCTATCATCCCATTAGGTTCTCTCTTTTTTTCCGTTTCTTTGCTTTTTTACTTAGATGCTTTGATACAAAAGAAATGATGCAACCAGGAAACAATACAACTGTTCGATTACAACCTATGAGTGTCTGATTCACTATTGCAAGTTGTTAGTCTTTTCCTTTTATAAACAGAAAACGATATCAAATTACAAAATGTTCCATTTCTGCTTCTATCCTAAATATACTCTTTAATTACTGTATTTTTTTATCTTCGTATGATTGTTACCGTCAAGTAAACAATGTTGTCAAACTCTTGAGTTCGCTACGATCACACTTGTCAATGAAGGGAAAAAAAGGTTGGAATGTAAAACTTACTGCTGTAAATTCACACTGAAGTTGATCAATAAAAGGGAAATCAATAACGAAATGACTAGATTCAAGTCAATCTCTCTTTGTTTAGCTTATTTTTTTTTGTTTCAAACCAGTTCTCATTTCGACCCACTGTCAACGTATCCCAAAGTATGATAGGTATCACTGAAGTTCCCCCCTCCAAAGGTAAATAAGTTTTTTCTCTTAAAACTAAAGTCACTTACTCAAGTCTTCTATATCTTTGGTTGCTCCTCTAAGAATACCAACACAGCTCATCTCTCTCTTTTTTTTCTCTCTATACGCGTGTTGTAATAAACAAAGAGAAGGGGAAAAAATACTTGCATAAAAAATTTTAAAACCAGTCCGAGTGAATGTTGCCCATGGCCATTCGTACGACAATGATAAGTTAGAATAATGATAAGCTAATTTTAAATACAAGGAAGCATACAATTGCTTCCTATGGAAAGCATGCCTTTTTATAATAAAAGTTGAATCCATGCTGACCTGCTTTATAGAGCTTTTTTTAAGTATACCTTTGAAATCAAGGAAATATGGCTTTGAGGGAGTGTGTCCCTGTTTCAATGACGGCCCGGACTTTGAGTACAAAATTTTTTTTCTGACTACAGAAAAGAAGATAACGTCCTTCTTTTTTTATATATTAAAATAGTCAAGATGCCTATGGACCCTAAGGATTGGATTGATGTTACCACTGAAAAGAACCACTACTCTTTAAACCATTTCGTTATTCCTCATCACTATGAAAAGGACGTTTCTTCCATTCTTATTCCACACGGTGTCATTATGGATCGTGTCAACAAACTTGCTCGTCTGATTGTTGCTGAGACCACGGGACCCTTAGTCGTCTGTTGTATCTTGAAGGGTGGTCACCAATACTTTGCTGATTTGATTAACGCTGTCAAAAAGTTGACCAACAAGGAAGGCAAGACCGTTCCTTTAAGTTTGGAATTCCTTCGTGTCAAGTCTTACAAGAACGATACGTCTGAAGGTGTGACCATGTCCATCACTGACGAAGAATGCAGAGACTTTAAGGGAAAAGTAAAGTAACCAAATAAAAGAATGATTGGGTATTAACATCATGTACATAGAATCTCTTGATTGTTGAAGATATCATTGATACAGGCAACACTATGGTTCATTTATTAAAGAAATTAGAAACATATCAACCTAAATCGATTCGAGTCACCAGTTTGTTGATCAAGAAGACACCCAAGAGTAACGGTTATGTTCCTGATTACGTTGGCTTCTCTATTCCCGATGAATTCGTTGTTGGTTATGCTTTGGATTATAATGAATATTTCCGTGATTTGGATCATATCTGTGTTATTAGCGTAAGTTGACAAATAAGTGTCTTTTTTTTTTTTCTTACTAATATATATATTTATTTACCAGGAACATGGTAAACAAGCTTATGCCATTCAATAATAAACATTATCTGCATCTCTCTTTTTTTTTTTTTTCCTCATAATAAAAACAAGGTCATATTTATTATAAATGGGATAATTTTATTTTCTATAGTCTACGTGGTATCTTATTAAACAATAATAGAAATATAAATATATATAATGACGTTAAATAGAAAGAGAGAGACGATAAAAAAGAAGGGTTCATATGTAAATAATCTATAAAATAACATAAGAAAAAACGACCAGTCGTGTCATAGTGTACATAGAGAGAAGAACAATGGGAAAAAAAGAAAGGATAGTATTACAAAGTGCTGGAGTGGGTACGTAAGAGTAAAGGATTAATATATTGTGTAGGTTCATATGTCAGCATGTCCAATTGATACATAGGGCCGTTGATAAAAGGATTAATATACTTGCCATTAGTATTTAATTCGTCCCAGGCCAACTGCTCAGCAGTGGGTTGCATATACATTTCTTGACTATTTAATTGTTGCATAAGAGGAGATATATCCAGAGCAGAAAAGTGATCAACAAGGCCGATAGACCAGATAGGGGATGATGGTGATTCGGTGTGTGGAGTGAACGTAGCAAAGGATGATTCTGGATGCATGCCAAATGCTTCACATTGGATAGAGAAAGCAGGTTCAAATAGTTCGTGATCTTCCAAAGACATAGGAGTTGTAGGGCCAGCACCGGGACTAAAAAGACTGGTGGAAAACTCAGATGGTATATAGCATTCAGGAGAGTTGAAGCTTGAAGGTGTATAGGGCGGACTAAAACCAACAGTTTCTAGCTTAATTGGAGAATCTTTCTTGGTGACCTTCTTGCATACCTTCCTAGTTCGTTTCTTGGGAGCAGAGGCAGTTTCCTTAAGCTTAGAGGCAGATTTGAGAGCATCAGCGTCTTCATAAATCATTTCCATAAATTTGTTATTTTCATCAGAGAGTGAAGTGAACTTGTCCGAATGCGATTTACGGTTGTAAGGACGCTTGGGAGTGTCTTTCTTTTTAGGCATGTATTTATAATCGGGATACATCTTGCGGTGTTCTTGTTTTGCGATTCGTGCTTGTTCACGGAATGGCTGCTTTTCTTCATCTGTAGCTTCTTTCCACCATTTAGCAATAATCTTGGAGATATCACGATGATTTGCGCCAGGACATCTAGCGACGATTTCCTTTTGCTTTTCAATACGATAGAGCAAGAAGCAATTCAAGGGCCGTGGAGCGGCTGCATTATTTTCTTCTTTTGCATGGATTACTTGTTTAGGCATATTCTTAGATTTGAGTAATATAATAAAATTAGAATTAGAGTAAAAAGGTGTTGTAATTCGATGTACTTTAGAAAACATCCAGGTCTATTTATTTAAATCTAAAAAGCGGTAGATAAGCTCACCCTTGTCTCATCCAATGTGATCTTCCAGCCAGTTGGAATAAACTGGTATCATAAAAGGAATGACTTTGTTCTGCAATTTACAAAGGGTGCATAACTTCCCCTTATCCCCTCCTTTTTTTTATTATTGATATTCATGCTACTCAATAACAGTTAATAAAATAAACTAACAGCAAGACTCTATATATGGATAAACACCGGATATGTATGTCCTTAACAACCATGCTTTTTATGCAGCTATTATTTTATGTATAAGCTACAGTTTTGCGTACGACCAAGTATGGTAACACTGAAGGTCTGCTTCTATTTGCACTGAAAACCCACATTCTGGGATTTTGATTGAAAAAGAAGGTATGAACTATAGATTATTTAGAACCCATAAATAAAAGCGACGCTCATGATATGGAAATTAACAACATTCCACGTTATTTAGGAAGCAGGATATATATTACTTTGACAATGAAATTCATATATAGATCATGCTTCGTTTGTTTAGTAACTATGACTTCTTCAGTCTGCTCCCCTCCTTTTTCTTGTAACAACTTTCTGCTATTTCTATCTCCTCATGAATATATATACAAAATCAAAAATAAAGACTATACGTTACTTAGAATTCTCTAACGATAGGAATTGTCTGATGAAACACCAACAAGAGTGATCTTGCTGATTTGTTTACATATGTGTGATGACCCAATGCAGCTAGAGTGATAAAGCATTCTCATTTTGGTTTCTTTATTGATAGCATAGCAACGCAAGCTAATTTTCATTATGATTTTTTCTATTGGGAAAAAAAAAAAAGGAGGAGCGGATATTTCTGAATAACCTGGAAGATCCTCTAGACCAGAGAAGATAAGGATGGTATTAAAAATCGATGTTCATGATATAAAAAGAATAAACCGTCTATGTACTCTATATATATCTCACAATCATGCGAGTAGGTTCGGTGCTTGACTTTAAGTAGAAAGTAAGGCTAAAACCTTCTACCAGCCACGCACTCCCCAGGGCAAAAAAAAAAAAAAAAAAAAGAAAAACAAACAAACAGGCAAATAAGGTTTTACCGTCTGAGCGCAGATATACAATTATTGGGATATGCAGTGATAATCATCAGGAACAATTTTTGTTAATCTTCTTTTTTCTAATAAAAACCCGGTTTTTGCCTTTTCAAGTAAAGAGTCATAGTCTGTATATCGTACGATGCCTTGTTTGTGTAAACGTCAATTTACAGCAAAAGGGGGAGGGAACAATACCTTAAATAAGCCATCTCCCCTTCCTTTGAAAACAGGTTTTGTGCATCTTTGATGCATACACAATCAGTTTACATTATCTATAACAGTTCAGTATTAAAATACAAAAAAGAGAAAATATAGAAAAAAAAAAAAGGAGTAAAGGATGTGTATATCAATAACTACGTAGAAAACAATAATCTACATATTTTCTCATTGTATCGCTTTATTTAGAAAGATAAACATATATAATTGATCGTAGAGTAGATCTAATTACACAGACTTTTTCAATTAAGTAGCATAAGCAGCTGTTTTATGCAAAGAGTACAGATGGGATATTATAGTTACAAGAGGGAAAAAGGCGAGAGAAAAAAAAAAAAGGGGGAGGGCATTCCATATATGGTCAAACACCGGCCTTCAGATAAATTACCCAAAGGATACCCTAAAGATAATTCATGCAAATGCATTGACATATTTTGTGAAATATGTCGCCTGTTAGGGTTGCTACCATGGCACTAAATTAACAAAAAAATTGACATTGAAACCATTCAAAATAATGAAATGTATTAAAGTTAGACTTCCAAACCTTATAAACAATCATGATTTCACCACAGGAGCAACAACAATAACATACCTTTCCATGTTTTTCATTTGTGGATTACTTGATCTTCTATACATTAAAAGGGAAGTGTTTTCTTTCAGCTATCGAGTAAAAGACTAAACTAAGAAAAAAAAGAGATTGGGTTTAATATATTTTCCTTACTGTTCTCCCGTTTTGTCTACCTCGTCATTACATGTTCTAGCTAATACTTGTAAAGTTTTTCGAAATACCTAGAAAAAAACTCCCGTCAAGATGATTTGATCATACGATACCGTCACCTGCTCGTCCAGCCTGGCTTAATCTTTTAATATTAAGCAAAGGAAATAAAGAGACGAATATACGATAGCAATTAGAAGAAAATGCTTCTTTTTACTTTGAGAACAATTACTGCGCCCATTAATAACAAGCGAGTAGATATACCGTCAATTTAATGCTGTAGAAGGAAAGTAAGGGGGGAGGGCGAGCGCGTCTGAGTGTCCACGTGTATCTTTAGTCAACCAAGGTTGCATAAAGTTGGTTAGACTAGAATCATTGCATCCTTTAAACTATTGATTGCAATATACCTGTCATGAGGTTGATGGGTGTAAGGGAAATTACTTTAACAAATTACTTTGTATTATGACATATTTTATCAGTATTCAATCACGTATGAAATAAACACAACATAGAGATTAAGCTTTAAATCTTTCCCTTTGGGAAATACCTTTTTATTAAAAACACACATATTCAATGACGTACAGAGAGGATAACCCATTTTAAAATGGTTGATTTTTTCGTTTAAACTTGGTTCTAAAAAGAAGGAAAGGGGGACATGATACAAATTCAAGCTCAACCGTGAGGGAACTCTGACAAAAAGAAGATTGTGGGACTGCAGATATCACACAAGCATAGGCAGCCAACCCATACTAAGCAAAAAACAAGCAAAACTGAAAAGATTGATAACGTAACTTTTTAAAACTTGCATCTATATGCAGAAAAGGAAAGAAAAAAACCATAGATTGATATGTGGGTTGACGGCGAACTGTGTAGATTTCCTAGAAGACCAAGATTGGTTTCCTTGCTAATGAAAGTCCATGAACACGCTCAGCTACGTGCAATAGGTAAATAAAATATTGTTTGCAAGTGTGTAAGAATGAGCTAAAGCTAAAGAAAAGGGGCACTTTATGTCTAGAGAGGCCTTTTTGAATAAAATACACCTTCAATCAATGCATAATTCTGATTCATTGCTAATAAAAGCATCTCATTGGCTATCCTCAAGCCTGTAATGAACATAGGATCGTGTGATCTTGACAGATGCTCAAGTAGCATAAATTAGCTTAGTGCTCAATATAAAATTATAAGGGAATCATTAAATCTTTTTATCTTTACACAAACAGTAGTGGTTGCCAATCGAACAGATGAATCTTATTATCAATGAAGTGGTGAATAACAAAAGCTAGCTGTACACATCGTTGATTTAGGGGAATGCTACACGCGCTCCGTTTTTACTAGAGCCGCCCTTTTTGTGTGTGCCAGGTTCCGTTTCTTCAACATTTGTCTGTAAAATCGATATACACTTTATTCACACATTATTCGCACACTGAAAAAAAGATAATTTCAGACAACAAATGAGACACCAAATGATAATAAAAGAAAGCCCACAAAAAGTAAACGAAAGAGATATAAAAAGAAAAGATTAGTAAATCAGTTATTTACATTAATATTAAATACTTACATCATAAAGAGGAGTTTTTATAAGAGAAAAAAAGAAGCAAGAAAAGTGAGTAAACATGTGTCATTAGGTGAGCTTTCAAATCTGTTATACATTCATCATACAGGCCAATTAAACAATAAAGATTTAATATTGAGGGGCTTCATTAAGCAAACTAAAGCTACATACAAAGAGGTATGTCTCTAGTAAAAACGGAACCTTACACACACAAAAAGGGTGTCTCTAGTAAAAACGGAGTGTGCGTAGCATTATCCTTAATTTATTTCATCTTCCAGCTTTCAGAGAAACTACACATAATATTCAAAGCAGTGTCTGTCACTATACTAGTGAGCAGCACCTTTGGACTAAAGCCTGTCAATTTTACTGCGTTGATGATATTTAATTGTGCTGAACAACAAACACCATGACACTAACAGTTGCTCTAACCACCTCCTTTGCAAGTCAAAAGAAAAGCTTACTTGGTCTTGAAGGAAGTGAGGATCCTGAATTAAGACGTATATATATCAAATCGCTGCAAGATCGTTTAAACTATTACAGCAGAAAAAGAATGGTACTACGCCTATTGAAAGTATATTAGCGTAGACTTTCATTACACAACTAACCAACGGCAAAGACCAGGAAGCTTTCATGGAATGAGCGTTATAGCAAAGGAAAGAAGTTCAAGCTTTCTTCCAAAGGATACAGATCTTCCAAGAAAAAAATATGAGAGTAGGAAGAGTCGAATAAGCCCTTCTGGATTGTTATAGTTTGAAAAACATTGTTAAATCTGTAGTATTGTGTTAAGGCATTCTGGATTGGATTATAGTTCTATCTTTATGTTCAATAAAAATATTGTTCTGTAACAAAGCGTCTCTTCCAGATGTTTCACCATGATCTCTGTATCTATCAGAATGTACTTGGACGGTTCGCATAAGAAACATCCTTCGTGTCACCTACTTTATCATCTTCACTAACGGACGAACTTGGATCCATTTAGAAGTATTATACGTAAGCACAGTAACTCATGGGGATCTTCTTTATCGTTTACAATATCCATGGCCTCAACCGCCATTTTCGTCAAATATTTCACGCGTCTGCTTTTATTCAAGAGCAGTGGAACGATTGTGCAATGGCGGTATACACAAAAGAGAAAGTATAGAACCGGGTTTAATCCCGTAAGAATATTAAGGTATGTTCCCACGTGGGTTACGGCTACTTTCCAGAAGATAGGGTGTTCTGGGAGTTAACCAAAAAAGTGCGCATTCAGTGAATAAGGATGAACGAGGTCCGGATAAGTTATATTTTTCTAAGCGTGAGAGGCTCTACGGTAAAGCGTTCAGCCAGAAAAAGACTGCGACAAATACTAAAGAATAAAAAGCTTTCAGATATAAATACCAAAGGTCCCAGGGCTTTAGTTAGACTATAAAAAACTGGGAAAAGTACAACCATATCTGTGGCGTGGGTGAGACTTTGAACTGGCCTGACCACAGCCACAAAATATAAGGCTGACGTGAACGATTAGTGAAACATTTCAAATTACCATCAAAGGATAAAAAAAGTAGAATGGCGTGCAGTGTCACTGACTTTTGCAACCATTGTGTAAGGCGCCCGAGAAATATGCAATCTTCTCGAATTAAGTCGTTTGTTACTTATTGCCACTTGGTATTTTACGCACTTTAAGTAAAATAGCATCATACCTAAATATGCTTTACTCACATATGATGTACTCATTTTGGTGTGGAGGAAAGTCAATCCAGCAATGAAAAGTGTATAGTTGTAGATACAGTTGCCAATCTTTGTTCAAAGAAAGCGTCATAGAGTAGGTCAAGAAAACGTTTCGCAGCAAAAGAGAAGCTCTCAACGGTATTCTTGAATTGTATAAACATGATGGAGATGACTTGTTGTTCCAGCTCAGCATTTCGCTTGAGTAAATAGTTGACAGTCATGGCTTTGCTGTTTTCTTAATAAAATCCAATGTAAATTGTATACTTGCAACGAAAAAGCGACAAGGCGCTGTACTGTAATGTATATGATGTTATATCATTTATATTTGTAGTAATTTGTATTTTGAGGCAAGAAGTCCAATGCCATTCAAACAAAACAGGATTCCCCGCCGCTTCACGAGCTGCATTAATATATATATGCAATTTTCTAATAAATATCTTTCATGAGCCTCAACTATCCCTAGCCTTATCTGCAAGCGATAAGTGATTTTTCACTAGCTTGAATTGCGCATCTTTTTCTTTGATACAAGAAAGCTAGTATATTCCATCAATGGTGTTGTCGGAGATGAAGCACGTCCGTTACTGCTCAGCATTTTTTAAAGTCTAAATAACCTTTATATATATATATATATCTCAATCATCTTTTGAAGCTGACTAACATTTGGAGAGTATAGGATTAGAATGCTGCATGTACGACAGAAGTATTTTAAATAAAAACAGTGTAAGTCCTGGAACCTTTTGTCGAACAGTGCTTTATTTAGCAACAGAGACTATATCGCACAAGAGATATGATGTTTAAATTTGTAAATCAGATAGTGGAGTTCACACAGCCATACTTTTAAAATCCTACATTGCTCAGAAAGTGCCAAATAAAAGGTATTTCTATATAAAGAAAAACAAAAGTTTTCATGCTTCAAATGTCCTGCTTTGTACTCTTATCTGCAATAGAAAAAGGTTAGCTTCCATTGAAATTGGCTGCGATACAATTTCGGAAATGCGATAAAAAAGAGAAACTTTTTATTGTAGCGGAAATCAATTCTAGTTGCCAAGGAAACGATATGAAATTTAATAAAAAATCATCCATATCTGGCAGAGACACACGTTAATAAGAATATGTATTCATTGCTCAATAATAGCAGCCAATGAGCCAACTTTTACTAAAACTGGTGCATCGTTGTGATTGGCCTAGGCCATCTATCGCCAGGGATCTGTTGTTAAGATTTAATTATTTAGCATGGTAAGCGCTTACCACGTGTACTTTGATTATGTCATGTCCGTTCTGCTACCATCCCAATACTACGCTCAGTGTGTGTAACATGAGTAAAAGTAGAAAAACAGGTTGCCATGACAAATACAGAATCAACTGCAGTAATTTTTAAATTCCACCCAAGCCAAGAACTGGGTTACTGTAAAAATGATCGTAGCTAGGGGATAACAGACAAAAAATAGGTTAAAAAGGGGGTAAAAAAGGAATTGGGAAAGGAGTATCCAAGGAAAAAAAAAGGGCAACGTAGCATAAAAAGGTTTTATTTAAAATGAAATATAGTGTGTCGTACATAACTTTTAAGCAAAACAGAAAAAATCGAAAGATTGGGTTTTAGATGGTCTCGGCTCCGAAACGTAAGCGATAACTAGCAAAGCCAGAAAATTTTTCTTTCTTTCCTTTTATTCACCTTTTTTTTACATCACAAACACTCCTTTCCTTTAGAGCTTGTTTTATGCATAAAACTACATTCCTTTATTAAGAAAGATGACTACAGAATTACTTGAAATAGAAAAGACATATCTTGAGAAATTAAACATAATCAATTCTGTAAATAGTAACTGCATGTCAATGTGTGCCTGTTTAATCATTTTTATCAGGAACTATCACCTCAGTGGCTGAAAGAGCAAGAAGATAATTCAAGCTTAATAGGATTGTTGAATGTTATCCAAGATATTCAGAAAGTGCACACCGAGATTTATAGTGTAAATAGTATGCAGCTCCTTCTTGTTCGTTTTATTAACATGTTTTCTTTGTTGTAGAAGCTTGAAACACTCAATGAAGTAGATGATGGGCTTGTTTTATATTTAGTAAATATCCACAGAAAACATTCATTCTCCTGTCTCCTTAAACCTCTTCTTTATTTTTAGATCGAAGAAATCAAGTCTGTTTATTCCAAGTATTCTGATCATTTCATTTGTAATTTGAGTCAATGTCAAGATATTCTCTGTACGCCGTCGATCAAACAAAAGCTCAGTGTAATTTATAAATAATGATGCGTCTTTGAATCATTTATCCAATCATCAATCTAGGATTTAAACCAGCATCAGCAAAATGAAATATCACTCGATATACTATTTGATGCTCCTTTGAAGCAGCTTATCACTTACAAATCCTATTTTAATGTAAGTCTTTCTTCTCTTCTCCCTTCCTTTCTTTCTTCTTTTACTCACTTTTTTCCTTTCTTCCTAATCTTACTTTCCTTTACTCTCACAACACTCATTCCACTCTTTATTCCCCTCTTTCAATCCACAGGAAATCGCCAATATACTCAATCCATCAACTTTATTGCAAGCAAATCAATTGTTTGATACTCTCATGAATTCCATTATCCGCTTAGATCCAATAGATACCTCAAATGTAGTTGATCTCTTTACTGAAAAGCCTATCCTTAATTATCAACTTGAGCCTATTTCAAAAATACTATTTAAACATACCTTCTACTGCATCGAGCTTGAAGAGCATGTTCAAGTCTTACTCACCAAGACTCATCTTGTCATCTCTACAGATAATAATCATTTACTATGTCCATCCATTTTAATTGACCATGTCCGCGTACGATCCACTCAGTCCGACTGCAATGACGAATACTGGCTTCAATTTTTAATCCAAGAGCGAAAGGCATTGACTTTAAAGACAAGCTCCAAAGAAGATCGTGATCTCTGGCTTGTTTCAACTCAGCCCTCCGCCTGGTCACCTCTCGAGCAGACAGTCATTTCGCGAAGCCGTCCAAAGCCGATAAAGACCACTGATATTTTCAGCTTTTACAATGATCCCGAAGGAGAAATTTCGCCTCTCGAAAGCTCCGACGAAGAAGACTCAACGAGTGACACTAAAAGAGAAGAATATACGTATTCAGGTAACCTTTTAAATATAAAAATAGGACAAAGACAATAACCTTTTCTTTTTTTCCCTTTTTTCTGTTTTTATATATCCTGATCGTACACAGCCACGCCATCAGACACAATGCAAAAAGCCATTACTCCTTCTCCCCCTCCTCTTCCTCAGCACTCTCAAGTACCCGATCCTACCCTGAATAAACCACTTCCTGTTCGCAACCATTCATTAAAGCAACTCCCTGCGACACCTCCTGAAACTATAATAGCAGCAACCACAACAGCGCCGCAAAAGAAACCTTCCTTTATGCGCTCTGTCCTATCTGCTGTTGGTTCGCCCCGCCTTAGAAAATCTCAGAGCATTACACCTTTGCCTAGACAAGCCCCAATTACACTTAATCAAAGTTCTGTGTCTCTCGATCGACAAACAATACCAACTCCACAGCGTAATTCATCCCTGCTGGATCCTGCACAGCAACCGCGTGGCTCATACCTCTTGCATCATCAATCATCCAACTCCTCATTTTCATCCAGTCAGTCTAGTCTAGCCACGCCTCCACTCAGCCGTTCATCCAGCCCAGGGTCCTCGACTCCGATCAGTCGTCTTCAAACACCTACCTCACTCTCTTCAGCAGAGGATTTAGAGGATCAACAAAGATCAACTCCTCCTGCAAGCGTAAGTTCTATGAAACATAAGCCCTACACGTGTATACTTAGATATATTTATAGCCCGATATGCAACTTCGCAATACAATAAAGCAAGTGATATATAGGGATGATCAATGCCAAGTGTTTCACTGGAAAGACGAATCTTGGTATGCAGTAGAAGACGACCAATGTGTACTGGAGGTACGACAGACCTATTCAAATCGCACATGTATCACCATCCATATGATGAATACCCGACAAATGTATTTGAACGCATGGATCCTGCCCGATACGTCAATTCAACGTATTAGTGACACAGACATCAATTTAACCGTTCAGTTTGGGGGAGTCGAGGATAATTACCTGTTCCATTGTGCAACCAATGATAGTGCTAGTCAGCTCGATCAAGTTCTGCAGCAGGTGCATCTAGAATCCGCCCAGCTACCCATGACGGACACCGTCCGCGGCTCACCACCTTTGCTCGACGAGACAACTCAGCAAGAGGAGGATTTGGAAAAATCCCTAAAATTAGCATTACAATGTAAATGTAAACTATACATACAAAGCAGTAGTGCCAAATGGAGTAGTTTTGGAAGTGTACATATGAAGGTATCACAGCATTATACAACCAAGAAAATGCACATGGCAATAGAGTCGCATAAGGGCGGCAAGGTGACCAAATTGGTGAGTGCTATGGTACAAAGCCGAAATGTAGAGAGACTTGGACCAAAGCGAATTACCTTCTTGTTTGTTAATGGCAAGACCAGTGTCGTCTACATGGTGCAAGTACGTGAAGAGTTGACAGGTGATAAAATCATTGAATACCTTAAAGAAAAGAATGCAGAAAATGGTTGGTAATTTTTTCTTTCTCTCTCTTTTCTGCTTCCTTACCGCATATACATATATACATATACCATTTTCCCCTTCTTTTTTTTTTTGTCTTCTTTGCTTCTTCCCCCTGTCCTTTCATTTCGTGTAATATTTATATGTTATTTTCTTTGCATCCACTTTTAATAGTAATAAAAAAGAGAAATGCTTTTTATACACACATATACTTTATTTACAAGACTTTTGATTTTAAATGTTTGACCCATTCTTTACCACCAGCTAATTTCTCTAAATAAGGATGATCCATATAGGCCCATTCAAATGTCCATGGTTCACCTTCTTCAAAGCTCAAGATTTCATTCCAATCGGCAAAAAGGGGCGTGTTGTCTAGTGGTATGTTACGCCCATTTTTGGTAGTAATCTTGGTGATTTTTCGTGTCTGATATGTGGCTACGATATGAATACGCTCTGCTAGTGTTTTGCCTGTATCGGTTGGGTGAATACGAATCCAGACTCTTTGTCCAGGATTGACGCTTGCAACAGTGATATGTCGATCTTCTTTGTTTGCTATGCAAAAAATAAACATTAGATTTTTTTTTTCTTGTTTTTTTCTTGTAATATACCTGATTGTGGCACTGTAGGTAAATCCTTATCCACAGAATAGTATCCATATTCATTCGAAGGAACTGGTGCGCCTGCCCTCAGTATGTTGGTAGGAAACACTTGTTTTGGCATATCATCGTCATTATCATCATTATCTGGCCGCACTAACGGACGAACAGGTTCGATTTCCTTTGATTCCTTTTCAGCATATGGTCTATCTGCACTTTCCTTCTCAACGTATGGTCTGTCTGTACTTTCCTTCTCAACATATGATCTATCTGTGCTTTCTTTTTCAGCATATGGTCTCTCTGTACTTTCCTTCTCAACATATCCTCTGGTCCACGTTTGCTCGGTCTTTTCCTTGCTTGTAACCACTACAGCTTCATTTTTTTGTTCAACCTTCTCTTCGGTTGCTAATGGGTATATGTGAAGCGTAGGATCGACTATCTGTATCTCTTTCACTGCATTCGTATCATCAAATGGATTATCTGAGCTTTCAGCCATCATCTTTTTACTGTTTTTCACATAGACCATGTCAGAAAAATCGTATTTACTACTTGCGCTGCTTTCGTCGTCGCCATGATCATCAATAATTGCCTTTTTGGGTGCAAATGGTACATCTTGTTCAAGCTTTTCTTCTTGATTTGGCTTTAATGACAAGAATGAATCTGATGTCTTGTAGTATGGATTGCTTGTGTTCAATGTCATCACAGGATGTACTGATGCTTGCTTTGGTTGATATGGTGTAGTCATATTTTGAGCATGCGTTTGAACTGGTTCAACAGGCTTAATGTACTGCGGCTGTGACAGAGGTAGGACAATGGGTTCGCTTTGCGTGCGAATTGAATGTGCAAATGGCTCAGGCATGGATAAAGCTAGAGGTACGCTCTGCGTGGTGGAATTGTTTGTTTTGATGTGATAAGGTTCCTTTTTGGGGTAGCTGATCGGTGTCACTGGTGGACGTTGGATCTGCGATGTACTGTCGATAGCTGACGGATAGGTTTGAGTGGGGTGAGGCTGTGGCATATGATGCTGGTTAGTGTTGTTATTGTTTGTAGGCGGTACATGGAATTGGGTTATGCTAGTTGTAGGTTGCTGTTTCTTTTGTGAAGATAGTGGCGGTGGCGGTGAATGGACAGTAGGAAGACTGCTAGATGCCTGCATTGGTGTATGAAACATCGGAGTACTTGTTTTGTTATTACTGGGAGGGTTTTGTACAGGCTTGACATTGTTCGAAGATGTGGATGACGCTGGACGTGGTTGAGATTTTGAATTGTTTGTAGTTATAGATGATAAAGTGTTTGATACTGGTAGTGTGGATGGCTTTTGCGCAGGTGTATTAAATACATTACTGGATACGACAGGAGAGGTTACCTGCATTGTTAAACCTGGCTTATAGTGCAAGTATGATTTATTCGGAAGCGATGAGTTTCTATTTGATATGCCATAAAGGGGAGTGGTTGAAATAGAGGATCTGGATTTTCCTGATATACTTTGAGAAGAGGTAGTATGATCAGAAGAATCTAGAAAGAACAGAGTCAGACTTTAAGTATTATATCAATGTATTTACATACCTAATGAATGTGGATTATACTCTCGCGGCTTAGTAGGCAATGGAGGAGGGCTTATTGATGGTGTAAATGGGTTACTTGCATCACGACTTGTATTCTCTTCCCTCTCCAATTCATCTTGTAATGCTTTAGCTATAGCTTCATCATTCAGTTCCTGCTCCCTTCTACGAGCCAATTCCTTTTCCCATTCGATTTCGGCTTCTTCTTGTAACTTTTTAACAAGTTTCAATGATTTGCGTTCTTTACCGATATCAAATAAATTTCTCATAAGAAAATAAAAAAAAAAAAAAGGCGAATAAAGAACCTTTTTATCCATTCTGTGTTACTTAATCTGTTTTATAATTAGAAACAGGTCATCTTTTTTCTTGGCAGTGAGGATTGACACTGAGGATTTGCCGTTTTGTTTGTAGAAATGGTTTCCTTAAGATAAATTTAATAAAGATCAAAGAAAGGATACAAATCAAGCAAGAGGCTTTTTAGGCCATTCAAAACTTTGCGTGATGATTCCCTTTTTTGTTGGCTCGATCCAACGCTTACTTTTAAATGTTTAGATATACACAACCATTGTGAGCACATGATGCTCTTTTTTACATACTTCTGCCTTAACCAGTTTGAAGAAGGCAAGAGTTATCTAAAAGTCCTATAAGCAATTCAATCAAAAAGTTAAAGTATGTTTATTTAATTAAATGTGGCAATTTCCACTATGGAGATGTTGCCTCAAAGAATGAAACATCTAGGATTTTTAGCGAAATGTCCTAAGTAAAATATTGTTTTGAAATGAAGAATTAAACTTCAACCAATAATTTTAACCCATTAGAAAATAAGCCTAAGAAAAGGACTAGTTTTCATAACTGCCAGGCCCAAGTAAAAATCTGTTTAAGCCGCTCTACCGTATCTATCACAATAGAACATTGTAAAAGAAATAGGAAAGTAAGACATAGAAAGAGAGAGAGATCGGCTGTTTAAAAAAAGCAATGAAGCTAGCCAAGACAATACTAATGGCACAGATTATGATTGGAAAGTGTAAAGACATATTTCAATGATAAGGAGTGTATTCCAATTGGATTACACTAATTTCCTTTTGAAGTCTCACAGAGGAGAGAATGAAGCCAATAAGCTACAAGGCCAAGAGATGTATATAAAGACAGATTTTCTAGAATAAATGTTTCGTTAGGAAAGAAGAAAAGAAAGCATTTCTTGGGTTAAGAGTACTATTAGTCATGCATAATTTTTCTGTCCAATAGGGCATCAATTAACAAATAGGCATATTTTCTTTTTTTCTTTTCGCGTTATGAGCAGTCTTACAGAGAAAGAGAAGCAGATTCTAAATTCACATAGAGAAATACTTTGGTTACAAAGACAAATAGAAGAATATGAACAAGAAACAGAGGGTGAAATTGACCTAGCAGAAATTGCAACAGAAGAGTTGTCAGATCAAGTTGATCAATATAATAATCACATTTCAACATTACGATCTCAACTTGATTCCTTGGTACAAATGAATGAAATCAAAGAACGACTTTTAGTCAACATGGACGCACACTATTTCTCGGTCAAGGCTTTATACCCTAAATTAAGCAATCACCATAGCAATGCCTTAAAAAAGTCAACCGAAGAAAAGATCAACCAGCGCGATGCACGAGTCGTGGAGTTTATGAAGCTCCTGCAGGAATTTTCTGCAAAAAAAAATGAATTAATACAGATACAGCGAAAACTGATACAACAGCATATTAAAAACAAGGAAATCAGTAAAGAAATTCAGGAGCTAAAAGAACATGAGATTTCACAAGTTCAAGATAACCATGAACAACTATCTCAGGGGTAAGCATATAAAAAGAATGAACTATGTTGTTCAATATAGTAATCGCTCACGGTAGTATAACCGAGGCTATAAACCAACTGTTGACAGTGAGAGGTGTTTTGCTGGTAAGTCCAGATGTATTCTGAGAAAATCAACAACTCATATATGCCTGTTTTAGGGGCTCATTTTGGAAAGTGATATAGATTGGGAAGGAGATGACAGATGGAGAGAAACAGTACTTAGGATAGGCAGTGAACCACCTACGAGTACAATATTTCCTTAAATAAAAAACAAGATCATGTTTTTTTAACTATTTAATTAATGTATCTAAATTGCATTGATTTGCAAGAGAAGAAGGAGGTAATTTAGGAGTACTTGGTCCAGCCAAACTACTATTATCAGATAAATAAGGGTCTTCTTGGTCAATAACATCATCTTCTACTGAATTCAGTAGCACAGGTAGAGCACCCATTCTATTGTCATCACAATGATGTCAGTACCATATCAACGCTAGTTATGTTTGTATTACCTTGAATAGAACATCTGTAACCTTAGTCGAATATTTTCAGCATATAAGTCGTGTATGGATCTGTCAGAATAAAGACCTAATTGTATATTTCGAACAAAGACAAAGAAATCGCACACGGCTACTAATCTATCTCTGCAATACTGATCAATCAACAACCAATTGTCTTGTTCATTCAATCTAAATCTATAGTTTAGCTGGGGTTGTTGTCCCTGTTCGCTTGTAGTACAAATCGACGATGATGATCTTCCACATGCTGAGCAACATAGATTTGATTTATTACTTAATCTATTCCACAGACTAGGACTTGGAGGCATGGCGTCAGTTGTGTTGATATGTTCAATAAAGCACGGTTGCCTTGACAACGAATCAATCATCTTCTTGGTTGAAAGCTTTGACTGTGGTCCAAACCGTAAGCAAGGTTCAATGTCTTCATTCAAGCAATACTTCATGAAACTAGTCTGATTCAGTTTCTTTATTGTTAACTGTTTGCTATCGACAAATTCGCGAAATAACTCCAATTGAATGTCATCAAACGGGCTCTTTTTGGCTATAACAGGCATTGATTTGGCTTTATTCTGTCTCTTTTTCCTTTCTTCATCATGCATCTCCTCCGTCGCTTGATCGGCCGACAATAAACGTAACCTTAATTCATGAAGTTGCGTCTTTTCTGCGACCAGATGCTCCTGTGTTTGTCGCAACTCATTTTCTAATTGATATCGTGCTCTTTTCTCTGCCGCAACCATCTCATTGGCTTCTTCGAATAGTCGTTGACTTAGTTCTTCTAATTCGTGTTCTACAAGATCCTTTTCATGTTGTATGTTGCCTACACGTTCAATTTCTGCTACATATTTCTGATTGAGTGCTTGAATATCCATTGATAACCTCTCTAATTGTTCATTCTTTGTGGCCAATTCTTGCTTTAAAGATTGAATGATTGTACTGCAATGCTCGCAAGTTGACATTTTTTTTAAAAGAATAAATAATAAAAAAAAAGGATAAAAATGAAAAATTCAAGTACCTTTAATAAATCCCAAAATAGAGGATTAAAAAAAAGGGGACATGAAAAATAGTAAATGGGATGATGATTTAAACGCCGTCGCATTGGGCTTTTTTTCTGAAAATGACTTCAAACTTGATTTTACAGTGCATCGAGGGTCAAATCACTTCTGAACAGCTTGAAAAAGAATTAGAAGGCTTGATTCAAGCAACACTAAGAGATTCATCTTTTCGGTTAGTTTTAAATTTCATAAACTTGTCAGAATGACAAACAGATCGTAGAGTTCAACAAGGTGGTAAAAAGGAATTCTGGCTTTCATTTTGTCCAGCAATCAACACAATAGAAAATAAACAATGCATTATCAACCTGCTAAAGTTTGCTAGAAATATCGTTGCAGGAGAATTAAGTAATCAGAGACTTGCATTGTAACTTGAATATATTTACCTTGCTACTCTTTATAACCTTTCTTTCTTTAGTGAAAATGGAGCGTTAGACAGTATACAGAAAAGACTTTTAAACGAGGCATACGACTATCAGAATGATAATACGCTAATGTTACAAGTGAGTACACAAGCTATTTGTAATATCATTACTGGTAATCCAAGTGTTATCGATTTTGTTTGGAAAGAATGGATGATGGATCAATCAAAGGGTCGCATTTGGTGGTAAGAGTTATATATTCATTCTAGCCATAAACTTACTAATGGTCTTTTATATACACAAAGTGATATACTATCAAAAAATAATGATGACTTGCTCACCAGTGTATTTGTCCTTATCATTAATTGTATATCACAAAACAAACAAAGATGGTAAAAAACGTACACAGATTCGATATGGGGTTATTGTTGCTGACTTTTGAATAGTGAATGGATGATGGAAAGTGAGGTTGGAAGAAAACTATTAGGCCAAGTGTTGGATGACCTTGAGAGATTACATGAAAACCAAGAAAGCAAGAATTTTGAATTAGGGTAAACTGAGACATTTATTGACAGGACATGTTACTGATGATATCTGAGAATAGCTATGCTATATTCAGTGAATTGTTTACCTATGGCTATTTTAGACAATTATATACGCTATTTAACAAGTGAGTTATATGCATTTACGTGATCTGTTTCAAAAGCTAACGAGTGGGCTATAGTAACACGGAAGTGATCAGTACACGACAAACCATATTACTCAAACTATTAGATTCCAAGATCCATACATATAAAGATATATTACCGCCTTTTATAAGTAGTAATGATTCCAAGTTCCTTTCAAAGCAATTTGAGACAATAGCCAAGGAAATCATTCAGGTCATTGTATCCGTAAAGGAATCACAGCAACAAAAATCTGATTTACAAGTGGGCCAAATGTCAAATCTGTATACAGCCATCATATTACTATTTCAAGTCATCAATCAATTACTCTTATTTGAAGCTAAAGATTTGAAATCGTCCATGATTGAGATAGATGCCATGCGCTTGATAGCAGGTAATATATCGGCATGTATAACTTTATTTTATATATATGTATATATTTATGGTTCTTAAAGATATCCTGGGCTCCTTACAGACAATACAGCTACCACCTGCAGAAACCGATCATCCGGAACAAGGATTTAACTTTCTCAAACGAGAATGTGTACGAACGATAGGAACTCTTTGTTATGAAGATAAAATGATGCAAGACAAGGCCCGTGAAATAGGCGCTATTCCTTTGATATTGAATCAATTTAAAATAGACGATTCTAATCCATGTAAACTACTATGCATAATCTAAAAACAAGGGGATACCAACTAATTGGATTTGTATAGATTTAAGGGAATATGCTACGTTAGCCATTCGAAATATTATGAAAGATAATATTGAAAATCAAAAGATGATTGAGCAACTAGAGCCACAGCAAGTAGAGCAAACGGATGAACTAGCGCAGATGGGAATCACGCCTGAATTACTAAAAGATGGAAAAGTGCGCATTAAAAGAACAGAGCTATAAGAAAAGGGCAGAAGGGAGAGATAACATGTGTTTGATAAAAAAGTACAACTAGAACAATTTGATACATATACAAAAATAAAATGAGTCAAGACTATTCTAATCAATTCATAACATCAACATGATAGCGTATGCATAAGCTACTTATAATCTATTTAAATAGGCGTTTCTCTGCTTCAGTCATTTGTTCCTTCCCCCCCCCCCTTTTTTTAATAATTTCCCTTATCTTTGTGCAATGAAATGCTTGAAGGAGACACAATGGAACTTTATTTATTGTTGAGTAGAATTAGTAGATAGTAATATATACAGTTATCAATCAAGTAATGGTTGTTACATAAAGTATTTACTAGTAATCATGTATGATTCGATTTGATTAACACTTTTTGTTAAAGCCTTCTGTCATCTTTATTGCTTATAATAGACATAGCCTTTGCTGTTATGACATAAATGCTTTTATTAAAAAAAAGGAGGGGAAATGAGAAACACTGCACACTAAGGATTGAATTAATCCAAATTGTACGTGCAATATAAGACTATCTTTTACAAGACATACATATACATGTATAAGGCATGGCTTGGACACGCTGCATGAAAGAAAGTCATTCAGATCCAGTTCGCTCTCGCGAGTCGTCAGTTTACGTCACGTAAAGCGGCATTTTAAACCCATCTCTTTTAGTGAGTTGCCAAATAGAACCCTCCAAACAATTTTTTCTTTTTCTTTTACTTTGCATTTTTCACGACAGATAGAGACTATGGCAGCGCCAGCAAAGATAGAAGAAACAACATCCGACAAGATCAAAAAGTTTTTTGAAGACAAGGACTGGAAGTTTTATTGTGCTTTGGCTGCAGGTGTGACCCTTGCAGGGGCAAGTGCTTATTATATCACGAGTAGTAAGAAAGGATCTAAGAAGAAGCCCGCAGGAAATAGAGAGGGTAAGGAGAGCTGGTAAAGACAAAGCATAAGATCTAACCTTTTACAAGTCAAAAAACCTACAACAGAAGAAAAAGCCCCTGCTGCCCCTAGTCCTACAGCAGCAACAACCGAGACGTTGGATTATATGACGTTGTCAGATAATGAAATTACTGCATTGACCGAGGAGGTAACAAAAAATAACAAGGATTAACTTTTTTGTTGACACAACTTTACAGCAACGTAGTGAGGCAGCTCAACAACTCAAGACAAAGGGTAATGCCAAATTTAGCGAAAAGGCCTATGACAAGGCTGCCGAATTATACACTGTAGCACTTCGCTATAAATCAGATCCAATTTTCTATTCCAACCGTGCTGCCTGTTATGCCAATTTGGGTCAAAATGAACGTGTGATTCAAGATTGTAATGATGCATTAAAGTTGGACCCTGTTTATGTCAAGGCCTTGAACAGACGTGCTCATGCTTTTGAAAAATTGGATGATTTAGAAAATGCACTTTATGGTAAAGGATAAAATCATGTGGAAGATCAAAGAGGGGGACAAGGGACTGACTGTATGATAGATTTTACTTGTGTTTGTATTCTCGATGCATTCAAGAATGAAACAGCCAGTAAATCCATGGAACGCGTCTTGAAGCTTCTCTCAGAAAGAAAGGCAAAGGAAATCATGAAGGTAAAGCTTATTTTATTGTCTGTGTGTTTCTGATTTTCATTGTCATTAAACCATCTTAGACCAAGACACCTCGTTTGCCTTCATCTACTTTTGTTAGTGCCTACCTTGATTCATTCCGCCCTGGTAATAAAGACATATTTTGGTATAACGACAGAAATTAACTCTTTGTATAGTCGTGCAAGATTTATCAGGTGTTGCTGACGACGAATCCGGAGATGGCTATTACGTCAAAGCCTATCGTGCCATTGCCAACAAAGATTACACAGCCGCTTGTGAAGCTGTTGAGAAGGCTGTTGAATTGGGCTGCTCTCGTCAATACCAGGCTCATGCTTTAAATTTAATGGGTACATTTGCTTTCTTGAAGGGCAATACAGCATCAGCATTAGACTATTTCAATAAGGCTATTGAAGCTGATCCAAAGTTTGTTCAAAGCTATATTAAGCGATCCAGCATTTATATGGAACAAGGTAAGAGTGTACAAACATATATGTAATTGTTGCTTATATGTTCTTCTCTAGGCAATATCGAAAGCACCTATAAGCAGTTTGATGAAGCAATTGCTATTAACCCCAGTGACCCCGATATCTACTACCACCGTGGACAAGTCAACTACATCAGTGGACAATACGATGCTGCCGCTAAGGATTACAGTGAAAGCATAAAGCTCGATGACACCTTTGTCTATGCTCACATTCAACTGGGTGTTGTCCAATACAAGCTGGGTTCCATCTCTTCTTCGATGTCAACCTTCAATAACACCTTGAAGAAATTTGCCAATAGCACAGACGTACACAACTACTATGGTGAACTCTTGGTTGACCAACAAAAGTTCACAGAGGCCATTGACATGTTTACCAAGGCAATCACACTCGATCCCAAGAACCCATTGCCTTATATCAATAAGGCCATGCTGATGTACCAAATGATGGGTAACGTAGAAGAAGCAACTCAACTGTGTAAGACCGCATTGGAGATTGATCCAGCTTGCGATGCTGCTGTTGCATCACTTGCTCAAATCCTCCTGGAACAATCTAAGCCTGAAGAAGCACTCAAGTACTATGAAATGGCTATCGACTTAGCCAGAACCGAAGCTGAGCTTGAGCATGCCATTTCTTATGTAGAGGCTACCAAGACTCAAACTCGATTTGCAAAAGATTTCCCTGACGCCGCTGCTAAATTGAGAGCCTTAAGAGGCTAAAAATTTATAGTACATATGTTTAATAGAAAATAAAAAATGGGTCCCCATATAAAGTAAAAATGATCAATTTATTACTGATGAACGGTCTCAAACGCTTAGACCTTGAAACCACGAGAAGAACGCTTACCACGAGCACGTTCGAACTTGCGACCTTCAGAACGGACATAGGGCTTCTTGTTCTTGTGAGGACCGAAACCAAAGTGCTTGGCAGCTTCACGAGCGTTCTTAGCACCACGGATGAGGATAGTGTTGGCACCAGTAGGAGCACGGAGAGCCAATTGATCCAAGGTCAAACATTCACCACCAGCCTTCAAGATACGGGCCTTGACGGTCTTGGTGAAGTGAAGGGCAGCAACAGAGAGCTTGGGGACTTCAAGGAGACGGCTGTCATCAGTGACGGTACCGACAACGACGACGGTGTTGTTACCCTTGGCGCTGCGAACAACACGAGAAAGACTGACGGGAGGACGGTTGACACGAGACATAAAGAGACGCTTCAAGACGACCTTGTTGAATTTAGCATCAGTACGACGAGCAAGGAAACGGTAAAGCTAAAGAAAAAAAAAATCACAAAATGAGAATTGTGTCATTGTCGTATATGCTTTTTTGCTGTACCTTGACCAATAAAGCCAAGTAAACGTTGTCAGACTTGGGGGAAGTACGGTTGGAGTTCTTGACGTGGTGTTTCTTGAGATCGATACCCTACAGAGAAAAATGAATGTGTGAGCAATGAGATCATCATTAGCTTATCCCCCCCCCCCTCCTCATCATTGTGTTTTTTTTTGGTCTCTTTCTCTCTTTTGGCTGTTTCTGTCTAGACATCCCCCGTGTGCATCAATCAATCCTTTCATCTATCCATCCCTCTCTCTTTCTACAATAAAGTATCCTCCCTATTGCTGTATGTTGTAGATATTTACCATTTTTATAGCAAACCAAGGTCCTTAGGCTTGTGTCCAAGAAAAGAGGATCTTTAATATGTATATGAGTTGGTTCTCTTTACCATCGGATTCTCAATTACGCTATTTTTTGGGACTTATTCCACAGCGTCTTTTTCCGGTCCGGAATATGTCTGGTGTGTGCATAGAGCAGGGATCACTGAAAAGTGGTGCAACTTTTTTTTTTTTTTTTCTTTCTGTGAGAGAACCATGTCTTTGCTTCGACCACTTATTGGCCACCGTGTTGGCACACAGTTGATGAGATCAACCATAAGAGCACGCTCAGTTGCTACTACAGCAACGTCAGCGGGAGCATCTGAAATGTATATCTTATTTCTATAAAAAAAAAATAATAGTTCCTGTACCTTGATATATAAAAAACTTTATAAATATAGACCCAAGCAAGAGCAAGATCCTAGAGCTGAAATGTTGAAGGCAACATTGCCTTTTATTCCTGAGTTTGGCTGGTCTATGCAAAGCTTGCTTCACGGAGCTCGTGCTTTAGGATACCCTTCGGTTGTTCATGGCGTATTTCCTGGAGGAGAGGCAGGGCTTATTGATGCCTATCTCGAAGACGCTCAAAAGACTTATATTCAGATGGTTGAAGATAAGCTGAAGCGAGGAGAGCTGGAAGGGTATATAGATGAAATTTCCTACATAAATATGTCTAGACTCATTTTATTCTAGACTACGCATGAGTGAAAAGATCAAGCTGCTTACTTGGCTTCGATTAGAAATGAATAAACCATTTATCAAAAAGTGGCCAGAGGTATATACAGAAAGAAAGAGAGAGAGGTTTTTTTTTCTTATACATACGGTAGGCATTGGCTATCATGGCGCGTCCATCCAATGTAGGTATGTCACTGAGTCATTTGGGCCATATTGTAGATGATATCTGGTATTATGCAGGGGACAGGAGTCCTGACGTAAGTGACAGAAAATAGCAAAGTATGTACGCTAACAGATATGAAACAGATGAATTGGTACACGAAGCGTGCATCATTGGCCGCAGTTTACAGCTCTACGGAACTATACATGACACAGGACCTCTCTCCAGACTATGTTGAAACAGAAAAGTTTTTGGAAAGGAGATTGGATCAAGCTGCATGGCTCGGATCAACCAGTCGTCAGGTAATTTCGGTTGATTTTAAAACGAGAGAGTCGATTGATATTTCCTTATAGGTTGGTAATATGCTTTGTTTTGGAGCCAAGAGTATGATGAGCGTCCTTGCAAATGTAAGATATATAGAAAGACACTTTGACAATAGTTATTGATTTGAGTATATCTAGCGTGGAGGAAAATACTAAACATTTTATTTACATAAATCATACATCATATGTATTCGAGTACATATAGAGGGGAAAATTGTTGCATTAATAAGCTAAAAGAGATATCTTTATACAATAAAATCACTGTCGTGAACAAACCATTCAAATGTTTGATCTACAAATTGGTTCAGCCAGCCTTTGGTTGTCGATGGTGAGATTCCAATGTAACTAGCCACTGTACATAAAAATTCGACTTCATCTTTTTTATGACATCCCCGCATTATCTTGGCCAATAGTAATAAGCTTTGACTTAGATGATGTGCAACGGTAGTCATTCCATATTCAAACGTCTGCCAGAATTTTCTTTGCGTCTGTGTGACGATGTGTTGGATATAGGTAGAGGTAGGCTGTATGAAGCAGATGAGCTGTTGCTGATCGACGGAGAGAAAGGTGCATTCAAACGACGCCTGTTGTTCGGGAGATGGAAGAAAACGAAGGGTGAGTTGAACGAGGAAAGAAGGTGATCGGGTTGCCTGACTGGTAGCCATACAGAACTTCTCGACATCATCTGAATGAATATAGCGCATCATGGGCTGACCTATCCATGACGTACCATATTCTTCATTCGAAATGACAGCCTCGATTGTACCGTACATGGAAAGCCGAAAGATGGAACATGATACGTTTGTGTTGGTTTGATAGTTTTTTAGATCCGTGATATCTAAGCACACTAGAACTCTTCCTTCTTTTTGTGTATGTAAACAAATGCAGAGTGTACGTGAATTATAAATTGTGTTTACGATAAGATAAGCACCGTCGTTCTTTTCATATTTCCATAGACTATCTATTGTCTGATTAACGGGATTATATCCCAAGAGTTCTTTCATTTCCTTTGTTGCCTCGATCACTCGATTGTGATCATCTAATGTTATCCACGCCATTGATCTTAGTGGACAGTTTGCTGTTGTATGCATTGTTTAAAAATATAAAAAAAAAAAAAGAAAGAAGGCAAAAATAAGAAGATCAGGGACGTATATTTATGCAATGTAAGATATAATTTTTATATAGTAAAGAAAAAAAGATAGCAAATATAAATATAAATATATATAGAAGCATGTTCATTTATGCAACCCGTGACTTGAACATTTTTCATTTCCGCCAGCCATCGTCATGTGGTCGACATTTTAATATTGAGGCAAATAGACGTAATGAATAGGCGAATAGATATCAAGATAATATCCATGGGGTGAATAATAATAATCATAAGAAGCTAATATATTATGTCAATATTGACTATATAATAAATGATTAAGCTATACTTACTTGATGTATCAACTGGACTAGTAGGCTATATATATACATTTATATAAACATAAGCAAATAGTAAAATAATAAAAGGAATGTGATTACCAAATAGTAGTAAGGATTAACAAACATTGTATTCAGACGAGATTGTTGAGCTATGCTGATGGTTTGAGTAAAAGAATACTTGCGGTAACATACATAGAGTTGATTATGATTCCATACTCTTCCATTCTATGATATATTATCATTATTATTATTATTATTATGATTTTTTATATGGTTATTTTTACTTCATTTTGTATAGCATTTGCAGCTTCAGATTCATGTTGAAATTTTATAAAGGCAAATATATGCTTATCATTGCCACGACATTTCCTTACAATACGGGTATGAACAATAGTACCATATTGATTAAACAATTGAATAAGACTTTCTTCATTGACTGACTCATTTAAATTTCCCACATAAATACAATGCTTATCAATAAATCGCTGATCTGTCATCATATTTGATATATTATTCATGTCAACATTTGAACTCCAATGAACAAGCCAAGGGTGCTGATATTCTGTATTCTTCAAGGTCTATTACATGTTGGTAAAAACATATGCCTATATAGGATACTTTACCGAATAGGCATGAATAGCATCATCTCGATACTGAAACTGAATAAAGGCTGCATGAAAGTTAGGATGCTGTGTTACAATAACATCTTCAATGTCACCAAAGACACTTAGTTTTGATCGTAAGTACTAAATTATTAACGTTAGTTCAAGTTTGACTTAATAAGATAGGTCTTACATGCTCATCAAATTGTAAATGTAATGAGATCAAACAAAGGGTTCTATTAACTCGAGCTGGTTCACAGCGAATATGTCTTCCGTGTAATACAATGCCTTGACATTCCTTTAGTGCCTTCTTGGACTCTTGTACATTCTGTTTATTATATAAAGAGTTTTTTTTAGACTAATGTTTATTTTAATAATAATAGCAACTTGCTTCAAACTGTACAAAGGCATAAGGTCTGCCCATCCAATCTCTCAATGTTTTAACATTTAATAATCTTCCGTACTGTCTAAATAGATCAAATACAGATCTATTTAATTCATTATCTGGTATGTTCCTATTTAAGCTATCAATTCTTTATTAATAAAGTATATATGTCAATTAAACTATTTACCTTGCTACAAAGACACAAGCAGTTGGATCTGCCTTTTTTTTAACTATATAAAAACTATATAATCAAATAGAAGAGAAAGAAGACAGATTTACCTGTGCAGTTATTACTGCTAATATAAACTTGATTATTCCTCTTCATATCTCTCAACATCCTTTAAAACCAATTGAAAGAGAAAAAAAGGGAAAGCCTTGACTTTTTTACTCGTTTGAGTGATGTCTTTTTTTGATTATTCTTTTTATTATTACTTTGATTAATTAAAATTTCATTTTCCCTTTTTATCTTTGTTTGATATGGAAAAGAGAGCTTTACCGACAAGACACAATTTTTTAACTGAAGCAGTTCAGCAATTGCTAGAATCAAGTAAAAGAAAAAGCTCATGTATAAAAAGTTTTCAATAACACGTCTAAAATAGCATCCAGTTCAACTGAACCTACGATAGATTCAACTACACTCATCACAGTCACTTCAGATGAACAACCTGACTCATCCTTTAAAGATTATGGACCTAATAACAACAATAGCAATAGTCCTAAACCAATATCAGTTGAACATGTTGCTCGTGTAAAGATCATTACTCCTGTTAGAAAAAGACATGACAAGGAAAACTTGGATCTCATATCAGATGATTACTACATCAAACGACATCGTAAGCATGAATTAGATGAAAAGAAGCAAAAGAATCGAGAGAAAGAGAGACTAAGGCACGGTTACTATCAACAAAGCCAACTGGTGGAACGTATAAAAACGATGGATAAGGGCCTATTGAGATCCATCGTATCCTCCATTCGACACCGAGGTTCTGTGCTGATACCTGATATGACAGAGGAGGCGGAGGAAGAATACTTGAATAAGCTACACGAAAGACTCCTGAAGGACGCGACTGAGCTGCTAAGACGGTATGAAGCCTTGGGTCTGGCCAAGACATCTACTGCTCCTCCAGCTGAGACAGAAGAAACAGAGTCCTTGGTGAACCCAACCTTTCATGAAGCTGTACAGACAGAAGCGATGCGTCAGAGAGCAAGACAGCTGGCAACATTTGAAAAATATCCCTCACATAAATCAGGATCAAGTCGCTATTCGAAACGACACATTACTGCATTTGGTGAAAAATTACCACCGTTTGAATTTATGGATTTTGAATTACCAAAGGACATCTTTGGTCATTTAATGAATTCAAGATAATAAAGGTTGGTTTTCTCCTACGAGATTACTCTTCTTAAAGACACCATTAAATATAAATACACCTAATAAAAGGATAACAAAGCCTGTCAACTCGACCCAAGAGAACACGTCCCAACCATAGTGAATGGCAAGTATCCAAGTGATGATCGTCCTAATACATATTAATAAATACGCCTCTTTTTCTTTTTCTGTGTTTTTCTTACCTTAAAGAGTCAATCATACTACGTCCGGGAATGCCGACGGTCGTACTAACCGCGAGTCCGAAAAAGTTAAATATGGCAACCATAAAGGATAATAAGAGAGCACTTTGCCACAAGACATTGATTCCGAACAACTGTTGGAATCCCTGACGAACATCAAGTATGTCTCTACCAAAGAATGCACTGATGGTAAGTGCAGTACTAAGCAAGATGGTGCCAAAGACACCTTCGATGCCCATGGCCTTGACCGGGTCAAGGTGGTATCTGTCCATCAAGTATTCTTCTAAAATAAACTGTCCGGCCACAAAGAGCTGAGCAACAATCAAGAAGACAGGACCCCAAACGTTCTCTGTGAGGCTTTCTTTATATGCGGACCAAATAATAGCACCTGTTCCGACAAGGATGCACAAGATGGCGGCCCACTCCTTGCGTAAGAATTTACGCGACAGGAAGAGACAACTAAAGATGGCCGAAAAACCAACGATACTGCTCTTGACCATTTGGTAAATCGAAGGCGTAGTATAGATTAAACCCAAGTTGAGAAGCTATTTAAATAAGTTGACACGGTCCTTTCTATAGAAAAAGGGAAAAAAAAAAAATTGACTTACTGTTGTTGCAATAAGGTCACATGCACTGGGTAAAATAAACCATGCAGCAGACCAAACAGAAGTATGAGGAACGACCCAATCGTTTCCATAGCTATGATGTGGCTGAACAGCCTCAAGCATAGATCGATCCAATAAGGAAGGTGTCTTGGTAACCAAATGAATAATCAAGATACAAATCATTTCACCAAGGAAGATCATAGTGGCTTGAAGCAATGGCTGATGAAAGTACTCAACGTCATTTACTTTTTGATAATCTTGAAATGACAAGATTAAGGGTATACAGACGCCTTTTTTTTGGTGTTATTGACCACACACTTTCTCTCTTTGTATAATAATTTACCTGATACTAATAATCCTATAGTCAAGAATACTGTGTATGCAGTAGACATTTCTTCTTTAACGTATAGAAGAGAGAAAAGAGAAAAAAGAAAAAGAAAGAAAAAAAAGTATTGTCGTTATTTATATCAAAGACAGTGACACAATACATGCAGCTCAACCTTAAACAAAATGGAAATCATGCTTTTCTTTTTTCCTTTTTTTATTTTCATGCCTTTTGGTATTCCTTTAGTCTTTAGATGTTGGAAGGATAAAGCATCTAAAAAAAGAGAGTTAGCGTCATTATACACGCAGATGAAATGTTTAAACTTACAACACGGACGGAAGCACCAAAGACCTTGGGAGGCAAGTTCTTACGGAAACGAGCCTTGACAACACCGTTGGTACCGTGAGTACGAGCGATACGACCCCAGATGACACGGATCTTGGAACCATTGACTTCACGTTGAGCACGGTAGACATAGGCAATACGCTTACCAAGGTAGAATTGAGCATCCTTGGTTGTTTGAACACCTTCAACTTGAATCAAAGAAACGTTGGGGTTTTGGTTGCGCTTGGCACGTTCGTAACCCAAAACACGGCCCTTACAGTAAAGACTACAGAATAATAAATAATGTTAGTACCTAAGTTTATATTTGTTTGTATCCAAGTGACGAAAAAAAGAAGAAAAGAGCCATTGCTGTTACTATATACAACACGAGTGAGGGGGTGTTGGTTACTAGTCTAAACTTTCCCTTTCTCTTTTTTTTGTGTCTGTACATGTGTGTGTGTGTATTTTGTTTATGAAAAAAAAAAGCTCATCTCGGCAATGTCGACAAATATGTATATAAACAGGACATCGATACTTTAATATTATCTCCAAGTCCATCCATCCATTTGTCTCTTTTCTATTTTTCTTTTCACTTGGATACTTTATGCATCTCCTACCGATCGACCATTTTGATATATAAATCAAGAGAGAGAGAGGGAGGATTCTTGATGGGAACTGTTTTGGAGTGTATATTGCCCCTCCCTTTCTCTCTCTCTGGCTTTTTCTTTAGGTGGGAAGGAGTTGAGGGTGTGTACTGATTGACGGCCCGGAACGGAATGCCGGACAAGATATTTTTTCCACTCAGTATTCCCAAAAACGTTTCTATCGCCGTTTTCTTTTTGTACACTGGCTCATATCTCACTTGTGGCTTGAAAATAAAGGTGATCTCTCTCACTTTTATGATTGTTGTCCTTTTTATACAAGGCAAGAGGATAATGACATAGAGATACGAAAGAGCCAAAATTTATAATACTCACGAAAAAAAAAAGACAAAATAAAAGAAGGATGGTAGCACCTTGCCTTACAATACACAAAATATTGAGCAACAAACCTCCTGATAGAAATATGCCAATGATTAAAAGTTTGTAGCTCCATGCATACAAGAAGACATTGCTTACAATAGTTGTTCTCTTTTTTTCAACTTTGACCTTGATGAGTTCATGTTGAGATTTACCGATCCTTATCTTATTCTGATGGAGTGCCTTTATGCTTTCTTCTTTATGATTTGGACCGGGAAGGGCACAAAATGCCGTTCAAGCGGCAAAATCAGAAGCGTATATTTCTCATTTATTCCGAAATCGCTGCAGCAACCTTTTCCTTGTTCTACTTTGGAGGAATTCCAAAGATGATAAAAGCTAATATTTGATCGACGCCATTGAGTTTAACTCTAAATGACTTGCATAAGTCTCGTCAGCCAAATGATTTTGTAGCCTTTTTGTAGGACAGGTCTACAATGAATTCAAGCTCTTCTTGTATGAACTTAGCAAGTGAAATATATGCCTTCACACATGTAATTCTTTGGATAGTGACAATATATCAAGTGGCATGATGTGTCCGTGGTCATCTGTTTAATTTGTAGTTGATTATTACTTTGTAATGAGGTGCTTACTATAAAGTAAACGATACCTACGCAAGGCAGCAATTTAATAAAAAGATAAATAAGGATCAAGTTCTTTATTATCTAATATGCTACTAAAACTTATTATCTCTATTTAGTGTTGATTAAAAAGAAATCTTATAATCTCGGTAGAATACCCAATTTAGGCTACACTGTCTTTGATAGCCCTTTTGTAGGATAATACTCAATGCTTACTCGTTCTTTTTCCTGACGGTTTAATGATAGTGATCTTTACTGCCTACAGGTGGGCTTTACCTTTTTAGCAAAAACTAAACAGACATCCAATGTGCACTTTTTATCATGGATCAAATTCCTCACCAAAGAGTGTTCCTCTTTCCTCTTCTTTATACAATAATAAAGAATTGAACTGAGTGAACATACTCTATAAGCCTTCTTTAGTATGGCTATCCACATTCTATATTATAAAAGAAACAACTGCACATCCATTCATATAGTTTTTTTGTTTATCGACACGAAAGCCTCAAACACAAACAAATAAGCCGTTGTACTAATATTTATCAAGGTTGATGATGCGACTTTCTCTCTGTAGTTTCATAAAATTTCGAATTTGATTGTTCAATTTATGCGTTCATGCAGTGTTTATATTTGTGCGCGTATGTGTGCACATGTATGTATGCTGCCGTAGCATCACTTTAACATATTCACATGATGACTATGTCCAACATTTCTCTCTCTCTCTCTGTGCGCAAAGACTTCTCCCTCCCTTTCACACAGCCCAATTCCCTTTTTTATCCTTATGCTAGTCGGGGAAGGAGAGGGTGCGGACTGATGATCATTTTACACCGCACTAATGGTTTATCACTATTTTACTATCATCACTTTGGTGTTAAACAATTTTTAAAAAAAAAAAAAAAGAGATTCACCAAGAAAGAAAAGAGCAAACCAAAAAAAAAGGTTGAGATGAGAAAGTAGGTCTCTCTCTTTTAGTCATGCGTACGTCATTTTGGAACCCTGGCATAACAGCAGAAAATTTTTTTTGAATACAAAATTGAGTAGTGATAAGCCAATCTTTTTCCTCTTTTTCTTGTGATTCTTCATTTAATAGAGCAGCCAATACACGTCTTTGATTCGTGTCTTCTTTATTTATTCAGTTGCGCGTGCGGCACATATTTAATTGGTTCAAAATATGACAGATTCATCATCACAGCCACATCCTATGCTTCATCATGAAGTCTATGCTACACCTTATCAACCATCCGCTATCGACATACAACAACCACAATCACAACAGCAGCAACAGCAACCAACAATGGATACAAGGCATCAGGCATTATATCAACAACCAGCTTACTCGATGGTAAAAAATAAATAAATTATAATATGCATTGATCTATGTATGCATATGCTAACGTCCTTCTTAATTAGTCGGCTGCAGTTCATTCTCCTCCAATCACCTATAGCCGATCTATCGATCAGCCCTCACATTCTCCTCCTCCTCCTTCTCAGCAACAAGAGCAGCCGATGGAAGAACCTTTGTATGTCAATGCAAAACAATATCATCGGATTTTAAAACGAAGAGCAGCTCGTGCTAAGCTGGAAGAACAAAACAGGCTGACACGAGCAAGGAAGCCCTATCTTCATGAAAGTCGTCATAAACATGCCATGCGCAGACCCAGGGGTCCTGGGGGACGATTCCTAAGTAAGTTGTTTAAGGGAGCAAACACACAAAAAGGGCCTTCATTTAATATTTTATTTTATTCTTTTTATAGCCGCAAAAGAAGTGGAAGAATTAGAACGAACCGGTAAATTACCCGGTCAAACGGAAAAATCATCATCACCTACAGAACAACACCAAGAGTCATCAGAGCAATGGCCACCGAGTACAACAACAACAAGTGGATTTAGTACGTTTCCTAATCTTCAGCCTCAACATTAATCTGTGTATAGTTTTTTCTTTTTTCTTTCCCCCTTTTTGTCTATTTCAATTTTATAGCTTAATACATTATACAAATAAATAATCTTGTGAAATCAATATCGATCATTGAACCTTCTGACGTTAGACAAATGTCATGTTGGTCAGGTAACGTTACAAGTCTACGGCATCCTGATGATTGTTATCAAAGTGCTACTTTTAGCCCATCCATTCCATCTTATTATAGTTCATAGGGAGTCTGACATAGTCTATGTCCTCAAAAGAGGGAAATAGACTTCATTTTATGGAACGCGGTTGATCCCATCAAGGGGTAGGAGTTTCAAGATGAAGGAGAGAGGGGGCGAAATGTAAAGGGAGAAGAAATAAGAAGTATAAAGAAATGTTATGCCACTATGGGCTCCTCTTCCAAAACATGTTGTACTCATCTTTCTTGAAAATCCCCCCTCTTCCATACTCTCGCATTCTGCCTTCTTCCGTCTTTATCCCCTTTTGTTCATCAATAACAAGTTAAAACAGGAGCTGCTATTGTTGTACAGGCGGACTAGTTGGTTTCTTTTATATATTTAGTCTTGAACGTGCACACACGCGCGAGCGCGCGCGCGTTCCACTCGAGAGTCATTGACGGTAGGACAAGGAAGGTCAGTTTGTAACTATTTCTAAAAAGACAGTAATGCAATCTTTTTCTAAATATTTGGGTCGCGTGCTAAGTAGCACGGTTATTAAATCATCATGCCATCGAGGTTCTTGTTGAAAAAGGAGAAGGTAGGGGGGACTATAGAGTAGGAGCAGCAAGATATTAATATAAATAGCTCTGAAGACAGACAGGTAAGATAGAGATATATAGAAAGAGAGCGAGAGAGAGAGAGAGCGCAAATCTATTAAGCCTGTATTTAATAACTCCTCTCTTTGTTCTTTATGATTTTCGTTCATTTGATTCCCCTCCCTTAGGGTCATACAACATTAAGCTGTGCATTTATTTTAATGTCACCATTTACATCTCGTATTGTCTTCTTTTTCTTCTCTTTCTTCTTCATTCTTTTTATTCTCTTTATGATCTTGAGTCAACCTATTTCATTTAAAACAAATATTGAAGAATTATCAGAACTATGCTCGATTGTTACATGCTCGCTCTGTAGATACTTGGATATAGACCGACAAAAGAACCTAACTGTGTTTTGTTACAAATTGCTATCATGTATCGATATATCTCCGTCAGTGATATACACAGGGTAATCTTTTTCTTATAAAGGATTATTGTTGTCGAGAATATATCGTATTGACTTTTACTAGTCTAAAATACATCCAATCGATCCTGGCAAACAACTATCAATGTGTAGATGAATATTCTTTATTTACTGTTACATTACTACTGGCGTACAAGTACACAGAGGATTACTCACCACCCAATATGGTAAATACCCTAAAATAAAAAAAAATTAGCCCTAACCGTATCCCTCATAGTTACAGTGGTCATTTGTATCCATGATACCCGTAAAAACCTTAATTTCATTAGAAACAAAACTACTACAACACTTAGACTATTCACTTCACATTTCTGCAGAAACATTCATGCTTTGGACTGAAGAATGCAACGTATTATGTAATTTACAACAACAATCTCTAATAGACATCTATCATAACTATTACTATGACTACAGCTATTACTACTACTATTATCACCATTACACCCTTAACACTTATCCTACTTTATCATCTCATCTCATGTATGATGAGGCATATCAAGATGATGTCTGTTCACAAACACAAATACCCGTCATCAGCTCAAATGACATGTGGTATCCATTCTTTTTATAAGCATTTGTATCATTCCTGTACATCATTTCATATTCCCTGCATGTAACACAAAATCAAACAATAAAACAAAATAAGCCATGTTTCGGAAGTGGCCTCCTCTCTCTTCTTTTTCTCTCTGTCATACACCACATGAACTCCCTCTTTCTATTTATTCTTTGCCTTATGTAAGAATATAGTTAAGGTAGGGGTGAAAGGGGCGGTGAGCAGAAGGGCAAGAATAAAGAAAAGATAAATACTATCCTCATGAAATCATGACAATAAAACCATTGCATATAGAGAAGACAAACATTTCTTTTATTCTTAAATGTTATTTCTTTATCTTTTATACATTCTCCTTAAGCTGTGATTAAGGACGCAGGTTTACATGAAAATTTACGTACAATAAGAGAATCCGACAGAATAACATAATTCCAGCCAGCTACTTGCGCTCTATATATTATATAATTAAAATCACTCTGTTTGTGTATGCGTAACTAACTCACCTCGAACCTGGAGCAGACGGCGCTACTAAGAAGGTGCGATCAAAAGATAACGGTGTTCCTAAAGGTGACTCTGCAAATTCACCATGCACGGTCAAAAAGAGGATAACAGGATGACCAGGTTGTGTGCTGTGCGTTTGCCATGCATCCGTCACAAAGTTATCTGGTCTAGACAGGTCATGGACTGTCGCTGGTAATGAGCAAAGTCGCTTTATGATATTTTCACTTCCAATTACAATACGTTGGCTTGGTTTAACTATACATGTATATGTTGGTCATTTATGTATTTTTTTTCTTTCTTTTTTTCCAAGTTTACCTTGACTACTTCCCCATACACTTTCTTGATTAAAGTTACCGTTACTAAAGATAACTGAGAATGTAGATTGTGCATCATACAAGTCTGCTAATGCTTCACGGTTTGTGTCAAATAACGGGAAGTACTTGGATAATAAATCTTGTGCTGCAATACGAGAGTCATCTTGTCCAAAAAAGTTTGATCGAACAGGTACCGGTATATCCGAAGGTGTGTAAAATGCTTGAGCAGTGACAGTCGTAGTAGGTTGGAAATCTAATCGTTGAACCGAAGGAAATCGTTTCAAGACCTCACTACAGCATAAAACATGTCAATACTAATCTTCATTTTTCTTTTAAAAAAAATTACTTTCTATAGTCATTCTTTGTTTGAATAGGATTTCCAACTAATACCAGTTCTTGAAGCTGGTTTAACTTATTTGACAGTCTATCCAAACTGCGGAACTCGGCTATTTCATTATCTTGGAGAGAAAGGTTTTTCAAATTTGGAAACAATTCTGTTATTTTGAGTAGTGGTGCCACAGACCAGAGTTTGTTTCTAGCAAAGGAGAGCGTAACAACCTGCATATCAAGAACATGTTAATGCATATCCTTTCATTTTTATAGACAAAGCTTACTGCGTCTCCAAATAAAAATTTTGCTTCTGTTAGTAATTTAGCCAAGACGACAGCTATGCTGTGTGAAGTAGGCGGTAAATCATCTAAATCGAGATGGCCTGCCTGTGGATTCCATCTTTCTCGTAAAAATTCTGCTAAATAGGCTGATCTGCCACCACCACCACCACCACCACCACCACCAGTACTACTACTGTTGTCGCTAGTATTATTTGGGCCACTTCTGGGACGTGCGTTTGGTCTGCTGCCACCGTCTCCTCCTCCTCCTCCTCGGGTGATTGTCAACTACACACACAAAAGCTTCATCAACAAACGTGTTTAAAGGACATTCTTTTCATATCAGCTTACGTTCTGGTTCATAAATGCAAAATTATTCATTCTACACAAACCACCAGCTACTGTATCATCTATGACTGTAATGTGCATCTGATTGGGTCCATAATCGATCTACAAACAAGGGAAGGTAAGTAAGGATAACAACAAATAAATTGTTGCTTACATGAATAGGTGCCCATGGGACTTTTGATTTTCTTGATAAGAAGGAAAGTAATTTTTCTTCAGTACCAGGAGGATAACCTTTCACCTATTATAGATATATCCATAGTACGCGTATTGATTTACTATATATTGTGTGTGCGGTTGCTTCATGTAAAAAACTTACAGTGACAATATTTCCAGTTGAAGTATCACTACATTAAAGAGTTAGAAAGATGAAAATGTGTGTAATTCTTAATCTTTACGGTCTCATTTCAGTGTCTTCATCCATAAATTCATTATTGAATCGTGCATTGTTACCACTTTGATTTCTGCTGCGTCGAGGATTCTTTGAAAACACTCTTCCATTATCCCTGTCATAATTGTTGTTCCTATCGTAGTTATTGTTCCTATCATAGTTATTGTTTCTATCATAGTTGCTGCTTCTGTTATCGTTGATGGGCGCATTCGTAGGTCCTAGTCGTGACAGAATGGAAGGTGCATCACTCGAATTGTTGGTATTGAAGAAATCCTGGTCACGACCACGGTTCGATCCACCTCCACGTCCTCGATTACCACCTCGACCTCTTCCACCTCTCCAAGGGGTATTGTTGTCCATGTTTATATTAAATCAAGGGGGAAAAAAAAAGAGAAAAAGAGAGAGAGAGAAGAGAAGAGAAAAGGGAGGCTACCAAAATAGTTCTTTTGGAATTAGTGGGTAGATAGGCCACAGTCACGCTCAAATACTTTTTATTCTTTCTTTGTTTGCTTTTGAAGAACAGAGATGATTGGATTAAGATTAGGGCTATTGCTACTATTGATATCTGCTGGACTATTGATCATAGGTGTAGGTGTAGATGTGTTTGATCTATAATTAATATGGGCATTGGAAGAAAGACTACTACTGCTATATACAAGAGGAGAATGAAAGAATCCTTTTTCAGGTACCGTGCGATTCTTCTTTTTAGCACTCTGAAGTTCAATCTGCACACAGACTTCTCTAAGACCGTGAATATGACTATGTAATAATGCAGTGATGGTGTTTCTTAGCGTTTGGGTATCCACATTATCCTTAACCTGCACGTGAAGTGATCCAACTACACTTTCAGCTTCATATGGCCAAAAGCGACTATGGCTGATGCTGTAGACACCCTCCATTGCCTTGACTTCTTCTAAAGTACCTTCGATCGTTGCTATTGTCCCATCATCTAATTGAAGCATCAATACGGCTGCTGACTGTCGAATCAATGGTATAACGGAGGCAATAATCAAGACTGCGATAAATAAGGAGGCAATAGGATCGAATCCGGTCCAGCCAAACCATTTGATCAGGATGGTAGAAGCGATGACACCCACGGAACCCAATGTGTCTGCCATGATGTGTAAAAAGACACCTAAAAACACGTCCCAGATATAGACAATGTTAGCTTGCAAAGAGTATTTCAGTATCAAAGATACCTTGCATATTAGCACTATGTCCGTGATCATGGTGATGATGACCGTGATCATGATGGTGATGGCCGTGATGGTGACCATGATTAAAAGCAAAAATACCTACAAGATTGACTACTAATCCTACAAAGCTGATAAACAATAAACGATGGGTATTCATTTCTGGCGGGGTAATCAGTCGTTGAATGGCTTCAACAATGATGGAAGTTGAAATCATAATCAAAAAGACACCATTAAAATAAGCTGCTACTGTCTCAATTCTACTGTATCTATAGTAATGATGTTGGATATCTTTTCTTCTCCCTCTATCTTTTTTTTGTTACCCATAGGAGTACTCAGCATTCGAGGGCCATTTACTCATCACAGAGGCAAATAGACCAATACCCAACGCTAAGCAGTCAAAGAACATGTGTATAGCTAGACATATATATTAGATAAACAAGGTTCTTTACAATATTTGCATGTATCAATGTACCATCTGAAATTAAGCCCAATGAGTTTGTCCAGACACCATAAGCCAACTGAACAAACATGTAGGATAGATTGAGCAGTAAAAAGTAAAATATTTGCTTTGAGTCTTGGTTACTTAAGATGATATCTAGTGATTGCTTTGCTGTTGCCAATGGATTTGACTTGCTATAGGCATACTGTGGAGATATGTCATGCGTTGGTAAATCCAAAGGGGAAGTATGAAACATTGAGTTAAAAAGACAAGTTTATTTATTTAAAATGCCGAACTATAAGAAATATTCCATTTCCTGTTATCTTTATTAGTAGCCATGACAACATCAAAGTTTATATAAAATTTACCTTTCCGTAGGTATCATTTCCATCCAGAATACGTTCATTTTCTGGTGCAGCATCAAATACATTAAAATATCTCTCACCATACACACCCACTTCGAGTATGGATGCTAAATTACCACAGCGATAGCAGTAATTAGGTGCTGACCATACAGTAGATAATTTGTCATTAAATAATACTTGATAACCTGCATTACACAGTTGATGTGCTCTCAGGATATGGCTCATGTTGTTCATATGTAAGAATCTTTCAACAACTAGACTACCAAACATATATCCAGCTCCCCTATGTTTTATAAATGTATAAATTGATATATTTACATGTATGAAATTACCTTGCAGATATTGCAAATTCTTCTTTATCAGGATCAGGATCAGACCAAACAAGATCGGCCATAGCTCCTTCATGTGGTATTTCTATGGCATATATTGATATCTATTTCTTTCTTTCATTAAAAACATGTACCTTTGAATCGATCAATGATTCTTATTTGATCCAAGACATGGATAGTTGGTGATAGTCCTCCATGCACACAAAATATGCTATTATCAATGACTACAGATAACGTCAAATAATCAAACATATCTGTAAAATGCTTCCACACTTGTGTTGATCCATACTTTCGCATACATTCTGTATAGAACCCATAGGTCTATCTTGTGTTATTTTTTGCTTATGTGTTATAAATAAATATATCTACCTGAGTTACTGCTCTTGATTCATGGTTTCCTCTTATGAGCTGTACTCGATCAGGATATCTCAATTTCAAGCAAACAAGTAAGGATATCGTCTCTATGCTGTATAATCCACGATCGACATAGTCACCTAGTATGAAATCATGTCAATCATAACACAAGCCTTTATCTCTTTATATATATATACCAAGGAATAGATAATTGGTATCAGGACAATAGCCTCCTATCCGAAATATTTCTATTAAATCATAGTATTGACTATATGCAAAAGATGGTCAGAGCGCTTTTTAATAGTTACACATTTATTTACCCATGAATATCACCAACGACAGTTACTGGTGCACTAATGTGAACAACATTGCTTTCCTTCATCAATAGTTCTTTTGCTCTTTCGCATATTTCTTTAATCACACATTCAGCTAATAGCTGTTTATTGTATAGTTTTTCTAAGCAGGCGTCTAGATCTAACATTTTGAACTGCTGCTATTTATAAAAAAGAAAAAACAATCTTTTTCCTCTTTATTTTTATAATTAAAAAGATGAGAAACGACTTGATTGAGTCAGCGGTATCCTTTTTATCCTCTCCTAACGTTCAAAATGCAGAAAAGGAAAAGAAAATACAGTTTTTAAAAAACAAGGGATTAACAGATGAAGAGATTGAAGAAGCATTTAAAAGGACAACAACAACTACTACTACCACTCCTACTTCTACAGCAACAACAGTGGTAAGTTCCTTATTTGATTGATAAACATCAACTCACATTTATGCAACAAAGAAACCAAAAGTACCTTCAAGATTACCGTATCAGATTGTATACTATTCAACCGAGCCAACCATCACCAGGATGAGCACACAGCAGCTATTAAGATATGCCATCCTATTGGGCATGGGAACCTTGAGTGTCACTGTTGTATTGCTGACTGTAGTGAAGGTATTTCTGATATATCAACAGGCTATGGAAAACTAAAGCTCTTTTCATATAGAAATTCATGTCTAAAATATTTAATTCAATCGCCAAGTATCAGCGCAACCGATATAAAGACCATACAGACGTACTCAAGGGGATTGAAGCTAAATTGAGAGAACACACGAGTTCGACACACGAATCGTTGATCAAAGAGCAGAGTCATCTCAATAGCGGCTTACATCGCTTATTGTCTTTATCAAATGTAGAAAGAATCAAGAATAGGTCTGAATATAAGATGCTCAGAGCGATTGTAGACGATTTTCAAATGACAATCACAAAGACAACGTATACCAACAACTTCTCCTACAGTGGGTTTACGCCTTCTTATTCCAGCAGACTTCCATATGACGATCAAGATACAG